CCCTCAGTTTTTAGTAATAGCTTTATTGAGAGCTTCGTTTGGAGAAATTCACATTGCATAAGATTCACACTTAAAGCATACAATTCAGTTTTGCTTCTTTTAGTGTAGTCACAAGTTTGTGCAACCATCACCACTATCTAATTCCAGAACATTCTCAAGGGAAGCCCCATACCCATTAGCAGTTACTCCCCCATCCCCCTTCCCCCCCAGTTCCCAGCAACCATTAATACACTTTCTGTGTCTATAGATTTGCACATTAAGAACATGTCATAAAAATGGAATTATATGTGGCCTTTTGTGAATGGCTTCTTTTACTTACCGTGTTTTCAAGGTTCATCCATATGTAGCATCTCTCCATTCCTTTTTATTGCTGAATACTAATTCCATAGTATAGATAAACCACATTTTATGTAACCATTCTTTGAATTGTTTGCACTTTTGGGCTATTAAGAGTGATGCTATGAACATTTGTGAACAAGTTTTGCATGGGTATGTTTCATTTCTCCAAGGTATATACCTAACAATGGTATAACAACTCCAGTTTAACATTTTGATGAACTGCCAAACTTTTCCGCAGCGACTACACCATTTTACATTCCCACCAGCAACACGAGGATTTCGATTTGTCCACATCAGCAACAGTTGTTTTTCATCTATTTGATTATAAACATTCTACTAGGTGTGACCTGGTATCTGACTGGGATTTTGACTGGCACTTCCCTAATGGCTACTGATGTTGAGCACGTTTTCATGTGCTTACTGGCCTTCTGTGTATCTTTGGAGAAATGTCTATGAAAGTCCTTTGTCCATTTTTCAATTGCGTTGTCTTTTTATTATTGTGTTATAAGAAGTCTTTATGTATTGTGTATACAAGTTCCTTAGAGACAAATGATTGGCAGATATTTTCTCCCAAAGGCGATCTGTCTTCCCTCTCCTGATGCTGTCTTTTGAAGCACAATTATTTTGATGAATTCCAGTTTATCTCTTTGTCCTTTTGGTGCATCTAAGAAGACCACGGCCTAATCCAAACTTACAGAACTTTATTCCTGTTTTCGTCTAAAAACTTTATAGTTTTAACTTTCATCTAGGTCTGTGATCCACTTTGAAACTTCTGATACCTTTATTAGTAACTATATATTTTAATTTTTATTTGTGGTAAAATACACATAATGTAGAACATACAATCTTAAGCATTTTTAAGTATATAGTTCAGTAGTGTTAAGTACATTCACCTTGTTAATGCAGCCAATCTCCGGAGCTCATTCATCTTGCAAAACTGAAACTATACACCCATTAAACAACTCCCCATTACCCGGTACACCCAACCCCTGGCAACTGCCATTGTACTGATGTTGAGCATCATTTCATGTGTTTGTTGGTCTTTTGTAAACCTTCTTTAGAGAAAGGTCTATTCAAGTTCTTTGCCCCTTTTAAAATAGGGCCGTCTGCTCTTCTGTTGTGGGGTTCTAGGAGTGCTGTGTATATTCTAGATATTGGACCCTTAGTGGAGAGGATCTGCAGGTATTTTCTCTCATTTCACTCTATTGATTGTGTTCTCCATGTTGTTGCAGTTTTAGATTTTGATGTAGGCCAGTGTATCTGTTTTTACTTTTGTTGCCTGTCGTTTTGGTGTCATATCCAACAAATCATAGCCCAATCCAATGAAGTTCTTCCCCTAAATTTTCTAGGAATTGTACAGTTTTAGTTCTTACATTTAGATCCTTGATCAAGTTTGAGTTGATTTTGTATATGCGGTAAGGTAAGGGTCCAGTTTCATTCTTTTGCATGGGGATATCCAGTTTTCACAACACCATTTGTTGAAAAGACTGCCCTTTGCTCATTGAATGGTCGTGGCATCCTTATGGAAAATCATGTGACCACATATGCTAGGGTTTTCTTCTTTTCCATTGGTCTATATATGTCTGTTTTTATGTCAGTGCCACACTGTTTTGATTACTGTAGCTTTGTAGTAAGTTTGGAAACCAGGAAGTGTGCAACCTCCAATTTTGTTATTTTTTTATGGTTTTGGCTATCCCGGGTCCCTTGAGATTCCAGATGAATTTTACGATAGATTTCCCTATCTCCGCAAAAGACCCATTGGAATTTTGATAGGGAGTACACTGAATCTGTACATTACTTTGGATAGTATTGGCATCTTAACAATAGTCTTTCAGTCCATTCACATGGATGTCTTTCCATTTATTGGTGTCTTCTTTCTGCAACATTTTGTAGTTTTCAGTAAGACTTTTGCCTCCTTGATTGGATTAATTCCAAGTATCTTAATCTTTTTTATACTATTGTAAATGGAGTTGTATTCTTAATTCTCTTTTCAGATTGTTTATTGAATAATGATGGGTTAACATTTAATTTTTATTGTTAAAATATGACACATAGAAAAGTGCAGAGGGTATATAGTGTTAACAAATAACTACAGAGTGAATCATCATGTATCTACCATCCAGATAAACAGGACCTTGTGTGAACCCACTGTGAATCCTCAGAGACCCTGCTGCTCACCCCCAAAAGAAAACCACTGTCCTGGTGTTTGCCTCACTCCGCTGCTCTTGTTTGCTCTCTCCTTTGAGCCTGTTAGATCTGGCTCCTTGTCATTATTTAGAATGATGAATTATATAGAGAGACAAAAGCCACATGATCTAGCAGTGAGAGGAAAAATTTCAGTTGAACACCCCCCCACCCAAACAGTTATCTTTTCATTCAGTAAACATTGTTGAGTGACAGGCATTACATTTGCCATTGTGAACACAAAATCACATGCTGGACAAAGTAAAAAGTCACATGACGAGAAGGAGCTATACAATGTAATAGTTACATTCACAATGGAACCAGGAAAAAAACTTTTTTTTAAGGGACCAACTCATTCTGTGGAGAGAAATCACCATAGAGGAGGGCAGGCCTGAGATGGGCCTTGAAGGAGCAATGAGAAGGCTGAGAGGTGCTGGTCCAGATCAGGGAGACAGGACGTGGACCAGGGCTGTGAGTGTGGAGGTGGAATTATGGGATAGGTTGAAGGGGTAATGAAGAGATGCAGATCTTAGTAGCTCATGGGATGTGGAGCGGAACGGAGAAGATGACCACTGGGTGGAAGGTGGTGTCATCAGGGGATAGGTCAGCCAGCTTGGAGAGAAAGCATGACTTTGTTGTCTCTATGCTGTGAGACCCCAAAGTAGACACTCAAGTAGAATGACTGGGAGGTGGCCAGATGTGCAGATAGATATGGGCCCACACAGAGTCTCGGGTGGACCTAGAAACTTGGGAGTCATTAGCAAATAAGTGGCAATTTATTCCATAGGGATGATTAAGACTTCTCAGGAAGAGCATTTGAAATGAGACAGAGGAAAGTTACGGACAGAACCCCGGGGAACACCACAATGTTAGTGGTGGGTGGAGGACAACAAGCAAATCAGGGAGAGGAGGGATGGTCGGGGGGCAGGACAACCAGGAGACAGACTGAGGCCACGGAAGCCAAGGGAGGGGTGAGTGGCAAGGGCGAAGATATAGTGAAGTGCTGTCTTTCTAAATTCATCTCTGTGATACGGACATCGTCTTCCTAGGTGTGGAATCACAAGCAAGTTTCCTATCTTTAACTTGTCCCAGCTTTTTTTGTCATTAAATGATACAACAGAGAGTGAAAATACCAAAGAGGTCTGTATTTGAATTCAGACCTGCATGGACTGGCCGAAAAGGCCCACCAGGAGCCTGTTGCAGGAAGGATCATCACAAAGATAGCACTGAGGCATAAAAGGGGCCCATGGCGGAATGTGAAATGTGGATATTCTGATCCTATGCTCTCAGGAATCTGTCATAGCTTGGGGAGTGACAGCTGTAATAAAAATAAGACGAAGCTATTTCCCATTTGCCAGATCTTAGCAATGGGGAGGGGGCTTTCTACCCAGGGTGGCACAGGCTAGTGCGGTCCCTCATTGAGTGCACAGCACCACATTCATTTCACGGACAAGGGACGGGGTGCCCTGTCACCTTCAGTGGTGAGCCAGGACTTGATTTCAGAACAAGCACCAAAAAGAAAAAGACAAGCATATTTAATTACATAAAAACTTTAAAACTTCTCTCTACTCTCTACTATAAACAAAACCAAAGACAACTGACCAGTAGGTTTTTAAGAACTGCAACTTATGACAGATGAGTTAACATATTATATATTAGAAACAGTTCATGTGAAAAGACCAACACTCCAATGAAGTCACAAAAGTAGAAATATCAGTAAAAGTATAAAAGATGTTCCACTTACACAGTCATCAAAGAAACGGAAACTGAGAATGAAGGGAAAAAGGCACCTGCTAATAGGTGGTAGCTTAATTTTCTGGGAGCACATTGGTAATAATAAAAATTCTAAAATGTTTAAAATTTTAAATTATCTTTTAATTGTAAATGTCTGCTGCCAGGAATTCATCTGAGGGCAACCACTGGGCACATGTGCAGAGAAAAAGGTGCAAAGGTACAAGATGCAGTCCTGGTTATAATGTACAATCAAACCATTAATGGAACTACATTTTAGCAAATCACACAACAGATAACCAGGCAACCCACAGAGAAGACGTGATACGTATTTATGGACGTGGGAAGGGAACAACAGCTAACACTTATGAACACTTAATGCCAAGGCACCTCACAGCCGCCTTACAAAGAATGTACGATTATTGCGTCCATGCTTCACACACGAGAAAACGGAGGCTCAGGGAGGGCAAGCAACACGTTCAGGGTCATCAGCCAGTGAGTGGCAGGCAGAACAGGACTGGGAGCTAGGTCTGTCTGAAGTTGAAGTCCCTGCTCTTAATCCCACCCCCTATTGCCCCTCTGCTTCAAATTAAGAGAAAACAAGGTTATAAAACAGAAGTGCGTCGTGGTCTCAGGCTCACAAACACCCGCGTGCTCGATGCAATGCCTATTAACGGTGGCCCGGCCAGATGCAGCCATAAAACTAGTCCTCGTAACCGTAACGGAATCAATCAGGCAACACCCAGTTTAACCTTCTTGTCAGTTATTTATTGTTTGTCATTCTAAAGACTAGCACATTTACAGCATACATGGCTTTGAATGAGCTAAGAATATATAAAACAGTAACTGTATGTTTATATATATTAATACAGCCCACCCAAAACAAATAAATAAAAGTACTTTAATTCACTAAGCTTGGCAAATACAACTGCGGAGGGACAAAACCGTATTATACAACATTTGTACATTTTTCAAGGAAACCAAAGGCAACTGTGCTGCAGGTGCTTAGAATCCACGTCACATCCCACGTTTTCAGTAGGTCTCAACGTTTCTTCTCAAATGAGGGGCCTTCTCAGGAACACTGGACGGAATCTGTTTTACGGTAACCTGGAAAACGGCTTTCCCCGTGCAGCTGAAGACTCAGAGCTCCCGGCTCCCCTGAGGAGCCCCGGCCCGCCATGACGGCGGGCGTGCCCTGGCGCCGCGAGCGTGGGGACGGCGAGCGTGGGGACGGCGAGCGTGGGGACGGCGTGGCGCCGCGGGAGTGGCGGGGGCGGGCGTGACGCCGGCGCAAGGCGGCCCCACGCTCTCCCGCGGCAGCCGGGAGTAGTGCTCGCAGGGAATACTGAAACCTCAACGGTTTCTGCACCATTAGCCAAGTCTTAGAGTTTTAACGGTGATCCTTAACAGGAAGCCAAAGTGGGAGAAATAATTCACATAAAGGTGCCACATGCAAAACTGCTAACAGATGACTCAACGTTTGCTATATTCCCTTTTGATAAATGCGGGTACTTAATGCTCTTCAGACAAAAAAAAAAAAGAAAATTCTGGAAACAATATGGGTAACATTTAATTTAAAAAGATAAGGGAATTCTTTAAAGGTAGTGATGTTAAAACGAGAAAAGATGGAACTAGGTAGACACTAGAGAAATTACAACTTAAATGAAACGGGGGAGGGGTGAGAAAATCAGCCATCCTGCAAACTGTCTTTGAACAGGGACCGATACAGCAGGAGAATGTGACGCCAGCTGCCGCCGCCTCGGTCTCCGCCTGCACCCTCCACAGAGAGCCAGCTGTGGGCCAGGCATGAGCGGCCGCCATCGCTCCCTGGTGCGTCCTCCGCATCCGCTCACACCTGACCAACGGGCACCCACACAAGCAGGCTCTGGCTGCGCAGGAAGGCTCTGGAAGGTCTTCCACCCAGTTCCACCCTCACCCGCGCGCCTACCCCTCTGGGTCCCTGCCAGTGGGTGGCCTTGCCTGTGCCTCAGCAGCCCGAGGATGTTACACATTTCCAAGCGGCATGTCTAAAGGAGCCCACGAATAACACCTCAAATTTTAGACCGAGGAAATTTCCTGCGGGTTCACAAGTCATTAGGATCAGCATCATGGATATGTGCCACATAGATTTCTTTTACAGCCTTTTAAATAACATGTAAACATAATAATCATGACAAACAGAACTGATAAACGTATAAACTAAGAAAAATCTCTGCTATGTGCAGATAAGACTTATCATCTTATAATAGATGACTGGACATAATTTTCTATGAAATTCCTAAGTTTTATGGCCTAGTAATCCCTTTCAAACTCTCACTGTAGGAGATAAATTCAACTTTCTCAATAGTCATCTTACATAACAGAATGCGAAGAGGACAGTAACAAGTGCTGCAAACCTAAGAGAAACTTTCATCAGACAATCCAACATGATTGCACCATCTTCTAGAAGACGATAAATTGGGAAACCCACAAAAGCACATATGTTCTGAAAATAGGCTTCCAGCACCTACACGCATAACCCCCCCCGCCCCAGTTGTCTGAGAGGCAGCAGACACCTCAGGCGTGGGGGTCCTGGAGTGACAGAACTCAACACCCGGGGGAGGAGGGGAGGCGTGCCCCAGGGGCAGGACCAGCCAGAGCTGCAGAGCACGGGACTGCTGGCTTCACATTCTCCAGCACACACCCTGTTCTACGACGCATCGGGGGCAGAGGGGGACCCCACTGTGTGGGCCGCTGCGCAGGTACCACCTTCCAGTGAAGTCTTATCTCAGGCTGACTTAGCAACCTTTACTTCACCTTCTGGTTTCCCCTGTGCTGTCACAGGTAGGACAGTTCGTCGGAACCACTTGCTGTCACTACACGAGCTACAGCTACCTTCTTCCCCCAAAACTTGAGTTAACATTTAACATCTACTGGTCTGCCCAGGATCCAATAATTCAATATATTATTTACTGTTTTACATTCAGAGTTTTTAAAAGTAGACTGTAATTCAATGCTCAATTTTGAGTTACTCAGTAGAAAAATACATTAGGTGTGCAGCTGCCTAAGTGGGCATTTTAAAAAGTCTTTTAGCATTTCAGACATATCTAGCTTGATTCATACAGGTAACTATCGATGATATCTGTGTGGTTATGGCTGAGGCTATTTAAATGGGCAGTCGCTATGATCCACACTATTGAGCCAAACATTACCTCCTACTGATTCCAGTGGAAAACATGCTCCATAGACTTTTTAGTGAATTTTTTTTTTAAAAAACACAAAAATAAAAACCAATCCTTCAGGTCTTCTTGAAGAATTCAAATATGACACTACAGGGTACCCACATTTAGTATGTAACAGCTAATTAGAGGAACCATGTGTTCATGTTTCAACTTTTCCGTAAGTCCCTTCGGGAGGCCTGTAATGCTTGGGGAAAGCCTTCAGCTGCAGGGAATTAAATGCATATTTGCGACTTCCAACATTCTTCATTGTATTTTCTCTTCGACAACCCTCACTGGGGAAAAAAACAAGCACAAGAAATGACAGCAGTAAAAAAGGAAAAAAGAAAAGACTTAAACTAAGATGAAATGAATTATTTTCATAGCATTAAAAAAAAAGTTAATTCAAATGGGTGCCGGACTCATTTACAACAATATGCACGCAAGATGGCGGGCTTCTGAACGAGGAAGGCAACTAAGAAGCACAGACATGGACACATGCTGGATGGGACTGCGAGTCTGGCATTTCCAGAGGCAGCGCTGTATCTAAGTAGAAGCAAACTTCTGTTTTTCAGTGAATGGTTTTCACGTGTGTCGTGTCAAGTAATTGGAGGACTCGATCATAACTAGCGGTTCAAACGTTCTGTTACCTCGCAAATTAAATGGAACAAGAAATGGTGCTACTCTTACCAAAGCTTTCCAAGAGCTGCATTTTTCTGTGTTAGGATTGGCTATTAATCACTTCAAACTCAAAATGCTCATGTTCCTTGCAGAACTCGGTATGTAGCAAAGCCATCTGGCTGAGAAGGCTGCTCTAACATGCCATCCCCACGAGGAGACAGCTGTCCTGGGTGCAAATAAGCTATCAGGGAGCCCATGCAATGGCACGCTGGGTCTGCAACAGCTCTCAGGGCTAGGAGTGTCATGAAGGAGTGATCCCACTGAGATCTCCCCATGGCCGCCTTCTCCATGTGGGCTGTCCTCATTGTGGTCACCTCTCACTGTAGGAGATACAGATACGCATACCACGAAGCCAGGGAGAGCCCACAAGTGCCCTTCCCTAGAGAACCCGCTCCCAGCATCACCCCCAACTGTATTAGATGGAGGGTTGTCATGGCAACCCAGGGGGCACAGCAAATGCTGAACAGGAGGATGAGCCATCAGGCAGGCTTCACATTCCCAAGTGAGAGCATCAGGGGAGTTCTCTGGGAAATGTTCTGCTGTAGACATCAAATTAACAGGCAAAAGCGGTTCTAAATATAAATGACTTCCTATAAGCACAGTAGAAGTTTACATTTTTATATTATTCTTAGACTAGCAATTAAATCGACTAGTTATCAAATTTAGTACAAAAATCCCCATTATGAGATGTAAAATCTGGAGTTACCAAGAAATAGTGATTTAAAAAAAATATTTCAAATCGTATGAAGACCATTATGTCATGCATCTTAAAAAAATATCAGTGGCAATTGCTTAAGCCTTTTAAAGTGAAAATGACAGTCTCGTTATCAAGAACATGTAAAATATTTTTGGTAAGAGTAATTTTATTCAAAAGATAAGCTCAGGTATTTTAGAAAAGTATCCACCTGCTTGTTATTAAGTACTTTAGTAACTCAGCTATGCTTTCTTGTCACCAGAGCCTCAAACCCTCAGCGAGACGTGTGTCATCTGAACTGAATGCGCCTAGGCCATATGAGCAGGGAGCCCCTAGAGTAAAGAACGATCATGTTTGTTTAACATCCAGTAATCAGATAAAAATATAATTCCATTTAAAGCAGAAGCTATAGGTTCCTAGTCTTATTTAATCTTTGGAAGCTCTCACGTTATCAAACTATTTCAGATATGGCTTCTCTATTTATATAGAAATGGACACACTTTTCAAGGACCACCTATCAGTAGTAAATGCCAAACTGCTTTGAGGAGCAAAGAAGAAGAATTTGTCAACTTCGGCATTATCTTTTATTTACAGATATTAAAGAAACTACTTACTGGTTTAACTGGCTGAATATGCGATACACGGAATTGTAATCATAATTACCCTTTCAATGCAATTTTAATTTTTAAAGCAAATCGTATCTACTTTCCCTCAAATGTTGTGAATTTACAAAACCTGACTACTGAGGCTGATGGCACACCGACCCTGTCGTGACTTGCTTGCACAAGCTCGGTGTCAGTGCATGAGACTGAAGTCTGCGGAGGGGAGAGGGTGTCCGTGCTAACTGGACTTTCCTGCCTCAGGGGCCAGGCTTCCGTCCCTAAGGTAGAACACTTTCATCCAGCTCATCGGCTGCAGAGTTCTTAGGTGCCAATAGCACACATTGAAAAAGGTCTTGGATAGATGTTAGAAAGAGGGATTTAACTACTTCAAAGCTCCACCATTATTTTTTATTCTGTAGATAAATGCTTTCTTTTCAAGGACATCCATTTTTTGAATGAGAATTTAGAATGGAAACCCAGATGACAACTAATTTGGGGGACTCCTCTGGTTCTCCCTTTCTGCTGTGGATCTTCCCCTTCGGAACTCGTCTGGACGCACTGGGGTCTAGTGATACTGAGTATCTAGGGTTGGTGGCCACTGACAATGTCCCTCCCGGTGCTAGCGCCACCTCAGAAGCAGCCTGAAAACCATCACCCAATACCAGACTCCCCTCTTGTGAATCATCTTCCCATGTTTGTTTCATCCAGTCTATTTCTCACTAAAGCAGAAAAGATTTTCAGGTATATATTTAGTCTGATTTCCTAAGTAGAAAGCCTTAGTGTTGGTAAAACTGAGCACAAAGGGCGAGCACAATGAGTCTCTTTCCTCAGATGTTCTGAAGAAAGACGGCAACAACAATTCAGAGCCTAGGCCGATCTCCTGGCCTTCTTTCTTGCGCTAGCCCTCATGACCGGAGACAGCTAGAATGTACGGCCTTTTGGCTCAGCCCCTGAAGAGAAAAACAACCTTATCTTCTCTCCTTTCCAACCTCCACAGGGCAGGAAGGCCTGGCTGGCATCCTGGCAGTGAGGAGCAGGCTCAGAGGGGCCTCTCTAGCTGGCCACGGCCTCCCTTTGCTGGGGAGGGCGGGGGGGGGCGGTGCATCCTGGGAGGAGTCTCTGGGGAGTAGCACAGGAACACCCACAGGCCCGGGGAGCGGAGGGGGTGCTATCGGTAGTCAGAAGGGCCTCCCTCATGGGTGCATAGTCTCGGCCAGGCCTGGGGGTGGGCACAGGCACGTGGCACCCCCGTGGGGCATCAGGAGCACTTGAACCAGGGCAGGGACTGGGAAGCTGTGGAATGGGAGCTGGAAGGGCCTGTGGACTCTACTTTCTCTCTTTCAAATCTTGGAGCGCTGATGCATGCACCTCAATCTGAAGGAGGCAGGAGGTGAACATACCTCTCAAAGAATCACGGATCAGACAGTGACTAGTGTTGTGTTGCTACAACTTAACACCACCTGTCACTTGGCACCCGGTGAGACTCCCTACTGAAGAGTGTCAGGAGCTATGCCCCAGTACGGCCACCATAGTTGTTCCAGAAAAGACAGAGTGGCCATATGGCACTCGTGAGAAGACTGGCTTCCCGAACTACAGGTAGGAACCCTGCCCTAAGGCTCCTGCAGTGCTCAGAGGGTCTAGGAAAGAAGGGCCTCCCAGGGGTGTGAGAAGGACAGTCTTAGGATTTAAAGCCTAAGTCTGGCATTTGTTATTCGTTGCTAACCGCTTCTACCATTCCTAGAACGCGGACTCAGAACTGATGCCAAACCAGAGAAGTCCCAGAGTAAGTTCTGGACATCTTGGGGGAGGGAAGCGAGGGGGCAGATTTTGTGGTGGACTGGGTCTGTGTGTATGCATGGGAGTAAAGTTTCTGGTAAAGACAGCTTCTCTAAATTCACTCTGATTTTTCTAGACTGGTAAAAAGAAATCCACTTTCATAAAATCCAGTGTATGGGGAACTAGCTGGCAGTCAAAAACAGAAGTACAGCATGGTTTGGGCTGGAAAACAGAGAAGCCACTGAGAATTTCTTATACAGAATCCATGGAAATTTCCCCCTAATTTATTCTGTTACCTTTACAGACGTTCAATTACTCTTCTGCCAAATGTGAAAGTTAAGGTTATGAACAACCTTGCTTTCTGGGCATTTCCATGTTACATGAAGAGTGCTAAGAGCGCAGACCCAAGCAACGCTTTCTCTCTCACAGTTCCATCTGCCACAAGTGCCCAAAGGTTAGGCCTCTGTTTGGGGATTTTTTTTTTTTTTCAAAATTATCATTATTAACCACATTTGATTTTTTAAAACAAAAAATACTGCTTCGTGAAAAATAAATTCCCAAATGAGCCTTTTGTTCCTATATGCACTAATTCCTGTAACCAGTTTAGTGATCCTTAAAGATTTCAAAGAGTAAATCATAAGTCACATGCAGTATGTTATTTTAATGTGCCTGACTTGGTACAATGCGCAACTGCGGTCACAGCTTTGTGTCGTCTCAAACTGGAAATCATAAACACAAGCGAGGAATGTTATGATTCTGCAAAGTGTTTGCTACTGTGAGTTCAGGGACTACGCTTTGAAATGAAAGCAAAAAGTACATGTCCTATTAAATAGGTTGATCTAGATGAGCCGGTTATAAAGCATCTATCTATCCTTTTCGTTTCTCTTCAAAAGGAAAGGAAAGATTAGCAGTCCATGAAAGAACAGTATCAAATATACAAATTCTCTTCAGACAGAATCCCCTTCTCTCGGAAACAGGGCACAGGAGATATACAGGTAATAAATAGTTTTACATCAGAAGGTGAGAGATTTGGTACAACTCCAGGCCAGCTAAACAATGCAGTAACAGGGCACTGTAAGAACGTGTTACAAGCACTGAAAACTCGATGGAATTTAAACGCACGAGTCCTCTCGGTGAAATAATTTGGCAGGTATTTACAGTTCAGAACAACAGAACGTCAAACTGTAAGGCATGAAATATTTCTTGGCAGACCACGCTCTGACACATTCCTTCTGTCCAGTTAGGTACACAGGTGGCTGGACATATTCTGGCACTTTTGTTTTTCTTGTGACTTAGTACTGATTTTTCGCAATGGTACTCATTTGCAACGCAATTTGGTCACCAGGTATGCTATGCTCAGGAAGAGCCACACAATCAGTAAATTGGGGCTCAGGGCTAACAAAGGGATGGAACAGAGGAGGCTGGGATCTAGTCTTAAGTCTCGGATGGGCACCAGGCCGCTCAAGTTCTTCTGGGTGACTACCTCCCGTGTTCCAATGCTGTGAAAAGGAAAAAGTTTGGGAGAAAGGAAAAGAAAAAGGCAAAGGAAATAAAGGAAAAAAAAAAAAAGAGAGACACATGCAATGGATGTAACAAAAGTATGGAAAAAAGAGGAGAACCAAACGGTAAGATTTAAAACAAACCAAAAAATGGGATGGAGCCACAACAGAAAGAAAAGATGATGTGCAGAAAAGGGTGTGGAAGGGATACCAAATCAAAACCAGCACAGTCACAAGAAGAAAGGAGAGAAAGAGAAGTGAAAATAAGAAAAAAATACTGTCGTCTACCGAAAACAAACACATGTAGGTTGACTAAATGGTTTTCCATGTTCGCGCTCTCTCGGCTGGCCAAGCACAACTCCATGCTGCCCCGCCATGCTCCCACATGCTGCCAAGACATGGGTTTCAAGAAGCAAGCTGAACATGAAGAACCATTGGGGGGGGGGGTGGTTTGACCTTCTCACAGATGCCTGAGCGGGGGGCAGGGCGACCGACTTTGCCAAAGCTGCCTCTTGATGAACCATTCAAACAACGACCGTTTACCTCAAGTCTCAGTCAGAGGCAGAGCCCTCCCCAGACTCACCCTGGCTGTCAGGCTGAGCAGTGGCACAGCATGAGCTGCTCGTGGCCCCGAACGTTCAAGTTACTGTTCTGCAGGGTGATCCCCAACCACGGAATCCAACCAAGCTCACACCAGAAATTTGGGGGTTTTCCCCTTTGGTGAACCAGAAAAAAAACATACCGAAGTGCCATGGCTCTGGAGCCACATCCTCCACGGACGTCCACCAAAGTGGCAACAGTGACACAGAAGCAGAGATGCTGGGACATGATACGCGGCCTCTGAGGATCCACCCAGAGGTGAGTAGCATGGGGTCCTTGCTCAAGCAGAGTTCTCCTGGGCTTTCCCGGAGGAACTTGGAAGCCCTGGAGTGGCCCTGCCGGGATGTGCCGTTTAGACTGGGGACACATTCCCAGCCAGGGCAGTCTCTGGGGGCGGGGTGGGGGGGTTGTCACTGTGGCTACTTAGGAAGGCCCACTCTGTGTTTCAGCCCCCGGATCAGGGACAGAGAGGCACCATGGGCAGTGAGCTGGCACTGGCTCCAAAGGCTTGCAGGAGCTGAGCGTACACCACTCTTTGCAACTCCGTGTTCCGTGATGTCACACCGGTAGCTGGAAATAAGCCCCAGTGGGAGTATTTATGCTACAGAAACTGGCCAACACTATAGATCAGGGCTTTTTTTGGTGGTGGTGGAGGCGGGGAGCTGGTTGTTAAACATTTGCTAGCACATCACTGGCCACTGCTCATCCTGGGCCTCCGGGAGAAACACAGCCCGAGTGTCAGCTTTGCCCCCTTACCCCACCCCCTCTCTCCGCCCTGCACCCTTGCCTGCATGCTCTACTCTTCCATCTGGTAAGATGCAAGCGAGAAAGCAAAAGAACCAAAATGCATTCCTCCACTCAAGGCATGGCGCAGTATTTTCTGCTGCCTCCTTAGGGCTCCCGGCTGAGCCACAGGTCCTGGCCACGCTACAGCCAGAAATCCTGGCTAGTGACCCAGCCACCTCGGGCTTGCTGTCTATGGACAGAGACATGTGTTCCCCACAGGGGAGAATCCAGAAAATCACCTTAAAACAACCACACTCGGTAACGGCCTGGGCTGCGACGCGGCCAGGCAGACAGGCGGTGGAGAGCACAGAGCCCCGGCTGCTGGAGCTACTGGGTCCCTGGGGGCGGGTGCAGGGGGGCCATGATCCAGCTTGGTTCTTGTGTAATAATATCTGACATGATTAGTAAGTAAGATTACGTGTTTACTGCAGAGATTTTAGAAAATTCAGAAAAACCTAAATAGGACACTTTAAAAAGACTTCCATAATTGGAGGTGGAGGGGGGAGGTTTAGAGAGGCAGAGGGAGGCCCAGGGAGGAAGGTCCTTCCCTACTCAGGACCTCGGGGTCCTCACCTGTGTCACAGGAAAGCAAGACTGACTTTACAGACTCGGAAGCGCTCCGACGAGTGACAGGCGTGACAGCACCCGGAGGGTGGACAGAGCAGGCGCTCGGGACAGGGGGTGAGAGTGTGACGATTTGTATTAGAAACCTTAGGGAGGTGTCTATTTTTAACCTAAGGGATCAGTGCGGCAGATGTGGCCAGGAGCATACATAAGGGGATTCACTGCCCCCTGGTTTGAGGTGCTGAAAACCACCTTCGGCTTAGATATTCAATGGCAGCAAACTGGATCATTATGGTGTGCTCAAAATTGTAACCCGAAAAAATGCTCACAAGACCGTTAAATGAAAAAAGTAGGCTAGGGACGCCTGGGTGGCTCAGTCGGTTAAGCGTCTGCCTTCGGCTCAGGTCATGATCCCAGGGTCCTGGGATCGAGGCCTGCGTCGGGCTCCCTCTCCGCGGGGAGCCTGCTTCTCCCTCTACCTCTGTCTCTCTGTCTCTCATGAATAAATAAATAAAATCTTAAAAAAAAAAAAAAAAAGAAAAAAGTAGGCTAAAGCACCAGGCGTAACTGCTCACAGAGCTGCATTTGCTTGCACACGTGTGTGTTTTGTGCATTAACCAGAGACTGGCGACCCCGTGTGTGTATTAACCACACTCACGCCTGAGTGCTTGTATGTACATGTCTACATCTGCAAGAGTAGGCACCAAACATGAGCACGGCTGCTTGTCAACAGTAGGAATACGGAGGATTCGGAGGTGGGGGTGTGAGAACAGCTGGTGAAGGGGCTTATCCGTATTTTTAAATTTTGCTACAAGGAATATCACTTTCTTAGGTGATCAAGTGGTGTGTGCTGAAAGCCATAGCAGTTGATCTGTGCACGTGTGGGTACTGCCCACAGCCCCAAGGCGGGCCATAGGCCAGCAGATGCGGCCACCCCTGCGTCTTTCTAAGGAGCCCCATTCTCCCCGGTCTCCCGAGACCTCTGTGCTCAGATGCAGTCAGAATGAATTGTTGTTCTCATCGAATTTGTTCCAGAAGCCAGGACTGGATAGCTGTCTACACATCAACTGTACACCTGACTCAAGGCCTGGTCTACTGAATGGACCTGATCCTAACCTTTGCTCCGACAACCACAGGAATCCCCGCCCCCCCTCCCATTTCTCGTGTTTCTTCTCTAGCGGAGGCCTGCATCTCACCAAGGTGGTCCCTCCCAGCACCTCGCAGCTCACAGGGTGCAGACGTGTGTGGCCGGAAGCCCAGGCCCTGCCACCCTCATGGCATCAGGAACACCGAGCCTGAAGGACAGACCGTGAGGACAGGCTTGACTAAGGGTGCCTGGGCAGGGGTCTCGAGAGTCTCCATGGCTTCCCTGAGGCTCAGCCCAGGGAGGGTGGTGAACTTTCCGTACGTGCATAAATAGAAGGCCCGAGGTCACGGAGGGGGGTTTGGATGAATGTGGAAAAGACAAAACAGGGACAACACACTTCCATTCCTACAAAATGCTGTTATCAAGAGGCAGGAGCTCAGGCATCGCTTTTGTGGGTTATTATGAGAAGGTCAAACGGCAGAAACATACAGAAAGGATAAGAGAATTGAACGCTTTAAAGAATTTGGTGAGAGGACAAACAATACAGAACATTCAGTAGGAGTGACCGTTGGAAACGAGACTTTGACAGCATTGGTGGCTACATTGAAGGAGACGGGAAAACCAGGTTTCTTATCCTTTCTTTTGGTATGTGAGGTAAGGTGCTCCCCAGCAGTGCTTGGAACAAGGCATCGATCAACAGTAGACAGTTTTTAGTCCCGGGTTTCATTCTGCAAACACGCCTGCTGCCTCAGAACCAGAACATCATTAGGGTGAGGTCGCCACGGCACACAGACAGGTGGGGGGCTGCTGCCGTTACCATAAGACACTCATTTGACACTTTGCTAAGAAAAGCAAACTGTGTCGACGGCTAGAGAAGAAGCAGAGCAAACCAGTGCAACCTGCAGACGCGTTTTCTTCACTCAAGTTTGAAAGGAGCTAATACGCATGGTGGAAACAGCAGGTGCCTGCTGAGGAAGCTCTGGCCCTCGTTCCCACCCGCAGCAAGGCGGGGGCTGAGGGCCAGCCACGTGCCTGACTCGCACGCGGCCGCACTGGACTTCCCTGGGCAACGTCCTGACTCCTCAGCTTGCCCCGAGGGCACCCGATTTCAGAGCAGTCCCGCTCACAGAGACTGCTAGCTCTCTTGTCCCTCTGACTTAAAAAGGAACACGGTCTCAATTTGAGACCACCGACAGTTTGACTTGGCAGATGTCAGTGAATTTTCCAAAGTCAAACCAGAGCATATGCTGGCGGGGGTCAAGGGGACCTGGGCCGGGGGCGCCCTGGCGGGACCGGCTCATCTGCAGTTTACACGGAGCCCAGGGTAGGCGGGCGGGCGGCCTGGACAGCGGGACTCACCTGCGCATGCACTCCAGTGCCTGGGTGAACACCTGCGGGGCCATGCCGTGCTCGTGCTGCAGGATCAGGCACTGCTCCAGCGTCACCGACATGGCCGTGCGGTCCTTGGCGCTCTTGCAGCTGGTGAACCGGACCCCATTAAGGCGGCGGCAGATCTGCAACAGGAACACAGGCTGTGCTGACAGGGAGACGCCACAGGACCCCGGTTCCGGATGGTCAGTGGCGGCATGTGGCAATGCCGACTCCCAGGGCCACTTCTGCTCCCCGACTCCACGTCCGGCCAGAGCCAGCAGCAGAAACGACGTCACTGCCCGTGGGACTGCCTTTGTCCCCATGTGACTTTGTCCCCATCCCTCGTGTTCCCCCCCCTTCCTGGGCCGTTCCTTCCAGGCCTAGGCGCCCCCTTCTTGTCTGGGGCATCACCGTCCGTGCACTGACCGTACCAGCTGCCCCCTTCCAAACTGTGCCCAGGCCATCTCCTCACGTTCAGACCGTGCTGCGGGCCCTGGGCAGAGGAGAGCAGCAAAGTTCAGCTCAGGAGGTCAGAGCGGCTCCCGGGATGTCCCGCCCCTGGCCAAGTCTCCAGGTCTTTCTGGAAGGCATAGCACAGACCCACTGTCTCTACTCTGTTCCTCACCTGCACAGATGGGAATGGCTCAGAGGAGCTTCCCCCTTTGCCACCTCCTGAGCACCAGGCCCCGCGGGCCCTGCACCGTCCTCCACCTCCCTCAGGGCTGGGCAGGGCTCAGGGGTCAGTGCACTCTGCCCTTCACAAGTGGGGAGCTCACAGTGGGGCAGCCTCCGGGCTGAGAAAAGTCCACCCCAGGGCACCTTCTCTCCCCACAGGAAGGACATTTGGGGGCATTTCCTTTGTACCACTAGATACAATTCTAGGTACACAGTCCCCAAGAGCAGAAAGCCCTAAAACAAAGGATTTTTTCTTTTAAGTTTACGGCAACTTCATTTGGCAGTCTGACCAGATCTGAGCTGATATGAGACTATAATCTTCATTTATCCCATTTTGTATAAACATTCATACCTTTTAATAAGGCTATATTAGTGAGTTTGGTTCCAGAGCGCTGCCCCAGACTCCCCTGGGTATGTTCAATCATATGTGTGTACCACATCAAACACAGGTGATGTGCACTGTATTACACATATGTGCACCAACTGTATACCAAATCCCCTTTCTAAAATATAGAAACCTGTGAATCCCCAAACACCTACCCACAGGAGCTTCAGATAAGGGCCTGTACCCGGTAGACCACAGGCATTAACAGAGGCACAAGGGGGGGGACATTCAAAGACAGGGCTCCATGAAGACAGGCTCTCAAACACAGGGTCTCCCAACAGCGGACAAGCAGCATGACCAGCTGACCGTCTGCTGCAGGGAAGAGACCCGGGGTGGAGAGGAACACTTTCCTGAGGAGGAGAACAGGAAAGCTCTAGAATAAGTAGCTCAGGAAAGCCATGAGGGGGAAAGGGGAGACAGCCCTTCTAATGGCTACTTGGGCTCTGTGAACCGGGGGTAACCAGCTGTGAGTGTGTACTCCTTCCCCAGGGGCAGGGGCCGGATGTCCATCCCTCCCCAGTGCTCAGGCCGGGCCGGGAGCTGGAATGCCATCTGGGGATCACTCGTGCTCCTGAGTCTACCTGTGCTAGTCCCCATGCTGGACAAGTCATGGTGCTGCCGTGGAGGGCTCCCACAGCCGCCTGTGGTCACCCTCGACAGGGGTGAGTGAAGGGCTAGCTACACAACTCCACAAGAACATTTATGAGAAAATACTGGAAGTACTTGGGAAAAGAGGAGATCTGAACTGCAATGTACAAAAACTACTATGTAAAGAGACTGCAAAGATCACCACGGTCTACCTCTGAAGCTATTAAAAGATGCAGTAGGCAGTGCGTTGTAGCTGGTATCGATTGCCCAGGCTTCTGGAGGTGACAACTGTCATCAGCCTGTTTATGAAATGCCCCAGGGGACAGAGTCTGTGTCAAGCTTACTGGAATTCAGGCAGCCCTAAAGTAATGAACTCACAGGCACCTCTCAGTATCCTCCAGAGTTCTGGATGTATCCAGTGACTTTCTTTTTGTGTCCATATGGAGAAACTTGCTCTCTCCACTCCTGGCTGAGATTCTGATTTACTATCATAATTATTACTACTGGCAGCCAGTGCAACACTATCATTCTTTTCCTCAGTATAACGAAGGTACTACCTCAGCGGCTTGCCAGAGAATGTCGACGTTCTTATTCTTCCTGGCGTGTACATTCTGGCCCAGAAAACGCAGCAGCTCCGGCAGGCACGTCTGGCTCCGAGATCGAGGTAGGCCTGCAAGACAGGGGGAGTCCATGAGAGCTGGTGGGGCACCCAGGCCCATGGCCCATGGAGCCTGGCCAAGCTGGAAGCTTAGGGTGACTTATGCAAGAAAGGGGGGTGTGCTTAGGGACTGGCCCTGGCTTCCAACACGGGGAGCACTTAAATCACTTTCACAGCCACTTCAGTCCCACCTGCCAAGGGCAAACGCTCATCTTCTTTCAGCTCTTCCAAGGGGCTGGAGCACAGTCACGGGGTCACCGAGGGCAGGAGGGAGTTAGGAAGATCCATCTGGTCTTCAGAGCCTCCGCAGGGAGGAGGATGCTTAGGGCGATGAGTACTGACCACTGAGTAGGCTTGGCCACCCCTGGGGGATGTGGGCAGTAGGGCCTCCTCCCGTGGACCTGGAGTGACCCACTATCTCTGACAGCCTCCCTCTGCCACTGTGACTGTCTCCAGCCCTTCCAGGATCTCTTGAACAGGAAGATCTGTCTGATCACCTCACCTAAGAAACCTGGGATTTTCAAACCCCAGGATCATCAGAGAAAAAGAGAAGCGCCTCAAGGTCATGTCTAAGAAAAATAGCTATGGTGCCTGAATCCCCAGACTAAAACCAAACACATGGAATTCTGGGATCCAGCTGCACAGTCTCCACCACACAAGCTCACCTTCATGTACCCAGGCTCTTACGCTAATTATCACATGCACCTGGTATGTGCCCGGCACCATGCCGATCAGGGGACTGGGGCAGAAACAGACGTGGAAAGGGGGCTCCCGCTCACTGAGGGGCTCAGTCTGTGATGGAGGCTGTGGGAGCCCAGAGGAGGCAAGCTTGTCTCCTGGTGGAGACACAGCACGTTACTTCCCCAGATTGGCTGCAGCTTCTCCCTTGCTTCCCCTGCAGCCCCAGTCAGTGCACACCTGCCCACTGATGAACCGAGCAAACTTAGGGGGTATTCACTGGCTGCACTCCATTTCCTCGGCCTCACAGAGCTCCGAGTCTCCTAGGGCTGAAGGCGCAATGGGCTGCTGCTCCCCCAGCTTCCCCGGTCGTGGTCCAGTGCTACTGGTCCACCCTGGAGAGGCCCATGCCTGGCCTGCTTTTGTCCCGTAGGCCGCACCCTTCTGCAGCCTTCATCACCAGGATACATCTCCTGGAGTCTCACATCACTGGAAACAGGCTGCCTTCCAAGACACTGAGCACAGAACTCCCACTTCCTGACCACATGGCTCACTGTGCCCACTCATCTGTCCTCCACATGGCCTCCATCCCTCCTCCCTGCTCCCCTTTGTGATGCCTGGGCCAGGGGCCCAACCCTGCAGAAGACCCTGGCCCTCCAGCCCAAGCTTGGGTGCTCCACTGTCTCCGACCCCTGCAGCACTTGGAAGGCGGGCGCTGGTGGCAGCCAGCCTGGGCTCCCTCCTTGGGAGACTAGCCCTCCTGCCTCGGTGTCCTCAAGTGTCAAGTGTGTAGACAGCCTGGCACATGCAAGGATTTGATAAATCTGTCACTTTCAACTATGATCACTGCTGAAGCACGTGAGGATACCTCAATACCTGGGGGTTCCCGAGAGCCCGGGTACTGGTGACCTGCAGCTAAAGCGTCAGGGTATCCTCTCACTTATGGCTTTCAATCCTGACCACCTGGGGAGTTTCTGGAACTCCTGAGGCCCACCACTCTGGGGTGGGGCCCAGGCATCAGGACTGTCTGGGCTCCCCAGTGAATTCCAGCGTGTGGTCAGGGCCGGCACTTCTGCAGTTCCCTGGGGAGACCGGGGCCACCTGCCGTGAGCACCCTGTATGTCCCCCTGTCCACAGCAGCCCCCGATGTGCAGTCCTCAGCTGCTCCTCCATCTTGCTGCCGTGTTTCTCTAGCTCCTTCCCCCGTGGCCCATCTCACATCTCTGCCAACCTCTGGGGCAGAGTGGCCCATCGAGGCAGTGCCATTTTGTCACTTACTTGCCCTGGCTGCAGCCCTCGCCGCACTGACTGTGCCTCAGAAGCCCCCAGGGACTCCTTCCCTCACCACCCCCCCAGCACCCAGGTAACACTGCTGCTCTCCTGCCTTCAAGGACTCGCTCCCACCTGTCCGCTGAACCTTTTCTTCTCAAGCCACCTCCACGCGGGGCCTTTCCCCGGAGCCTTGTCCTCAGCCCCTTCCTCTGGCACACAGTGACCTCAGCCGTGAGACAGCCCCATGTCACCCGTGTCGCTGACCAGGGTGACGACAGGCGTGCCCCACCCGGCCTCACCTGTGGCCCGTGTCCCATATCACAAGGCCGTTGGTGCCTGGGCTGCTCTCCTTACCCCCCAGCCCTGCCCCCTCTGTGCATCCGCAGGCCGCCAGCTCGTGTGGCCATGGCCAGTGCAGGCCCTCTGTCTCTCCACCACATGCCCACAGCTCTCTCTTCCCCAGCACCAGCTCATGCCACTGCAAGGAAGCCCGCTCGCACAGCGACTCCCCCTTGTGCCTCTCCTCTCCGCCTACCACACCCCAGGTCAAAGTCGGAGGGAGGAGACTGTGCACAGCGGCCTGCACCCCTCCTCCAAGCCAATGAGCACACTTCTTTTGCTGATTCCAGACAAATCCCTGAAGGTTTTCCCACACCGCTTCCCTGCGAGAACTAAACTGACACCAACTCCCCCGCCTGGCCCAAGGTCCCTTGCAACACAGCATCTCCTACAGGACCCCTTGGCCGCCGGTCTGAGTGCCGAGCGTCAGAGCCAGGCCAAGCCTTCCATGCAACCAGTACCGAGGCCCGCGTTGTCGCGTTGTCGCGGGCAGTCAGTGCGGGGACGGGCACAGAGCGCGGCACGGCGCCAGGCACAGCAGTGACCCGGGAATGCGAATGAAGCCTTCTCCCATCTTCCTCCTCGGGAATCGCCCTTAAAGGACACTGGTGTTACCCAGCGACCGAGTCTGCCTCCTTTGCTCAGGGGTGCCCCCTCACAGCCGGGCAGCGCCAGCAGAGAGGCAGAGCCCATTCCTAAGCAGGGTCTAGTCTCATTCGTCACTAGGTCCTGTGGTGCTTTACACAGGGCAGGTGTTCAGTAAGTATGAAATCCGGAGAGAATTCCCCATGCACAGACAGGGGAGCCCGGGGCCCCTGCCTGAGTCCAGGGGCACAGAGTGACGGCAGCTGTCACTCACCCCTGCCTCTGGGGACACCCACACAGGGGCCCCCAGGTCCCCCGCACCCAGCACGAAGTGTCTGCCCAGCATCTTACTCTACGCGCCACAGGGGGAGGCGCACGGGTTGCTCACTCCAGCGCGGTGCCGAGTGGGGGCCCTGCCTCTGTGATCCCACCTGTCCTACCAGCAGGAACACAACATACACCACTGGTATCAGTGAACACCAGTGGCCAGGACAGCTTGTGAGAAAGCCCCGCAGTATCCAGGGGACAGGAAAACCAGCCAGAGAAGAATCAGCAAGGGCCACAGCCTGGGGGAAGCTTCTCTGCAGGGGGGACTCAAGCTGGGCAGAGTCTGAGTAGGTGAACAGGCTGCCGGGGGTGGGGACCGGGGGGCAAAGGGGGAATCGTGCGTGTGGAGGCAGCATCCGGATGCTGGGTGAGCAGACAGCCTGAGTGGCAGGGAAGGCTCCAACACCCAAAGTGATACAGGGCAGATGACAGGTGAAAAACAAACCTACCGTGACTGAAGAAATACTTACAGTCCTCAGGCAAAACCTCCTTAAACTGCTCAAAGTAGGAGTTTAACCGCACCAAACTTTCCACGTTGATAACTTCTTGTAAAGATGTATCGCCAAACCTTCAGAGGTCAGACGGGGACACCATGAGTTCTCTCAAGGGTTAGCGCAGCAGCTAACCTCTAAGCCGCTTTCCTCCTACCAAGCATGACGCCATCTCTACCTTGTCAGTGACTTGTTTAAATACATTTCATTAGTGGGAACCATGCACATTTGTTATAGATGTGCCTCAAAGATGACCAGAACTCTATCTGTCCCAGACCCTCGTGTGGCATGCATACAAACCCCTCTCATGGACGCTCGCTGGGAGGCCCTGTGTCCTCCCATCCTGGAGGTGCTTACAAGAGGGGACAGCACTGAGGCTCTGGCTGGGGAGTGAGGACCCAGTCCTGTACCTGAAGCGCAAGTCACTCTGTCTGCTGGATAACCACACCTGACTAGTTGCTCCTCCTGGGCTGTATGTGAGGCCCTAGCGCACGTCTCTCCATGCAGGCTCAACCTGTGCACACCTCCCAGGTAGCCAGGACATGCCAGAGGTGGTCATGCAAGGTGGTCATTAGGCCTGGATGCCCAGTCCAGCTCCACCACTGCCCTGCTGAGTGACCTCCATGCACATCAGCCTCTTCATGGTCCCAGGTCATCCTTCAGCGGGCAGGACTCCCTCCTGCGGGTCCATCACAGTCCCATCCACCCTGATGCCCGCAAGGGCTTTTCCTCTAGGCACCTGCTCCCTTGGGGACTGCCCCAGGACACAGTGAGCTGGGCTTGTTTATGAGCTGAGGGGACAGTGTCCCAAAAGCGGATGAATGAGCAAAGACCTGGCACTCGCCAAGTCTTCCCCATCCCCACTGTCTCATCATCCTCCACCTGCCTCTCTGCTCTCTGTGATGTGGCCTTGCCTCAACCCTTTCCAGAAACTGCTCCTGCAGTCATCAGGAATGGCAGCTGCCAGACACAGGGAGCATCACTGTCCGCACTGGGACAACTCCCTGCCGGCCTCCTGATGCTGCCTCCTCTCCATGAAGTGGGCTCCTCCAGTTCTGCTCATACCCTAGAGGTCTCTGCTTCCTGGGCTGGTGGCCCCAGCCTAAGCCAGCCTCCATCTGCCCCTGAGCATGACCTTTTTCCCGGTTCCTGGGCCCAGGGGGTGGTGGCAACACCCACTCACTACCGACCTGGAAGCCTAGGTCTGTTATTCTCTTCACCGTCTCTTTCACACCCTGCCCAGCTGAAGACCAAATCCTCCATTTCACCGCTGAAATAGTCCTTCAGTCTGTCCCTTCTCCATCTGTACTACCCCCTGCCTGATCCAGCTCACTGCCTCTGGTCTGGGCCCTTTCCAACAACCTCCTCTTTATACCTGTCCCCCTCATATAAATTCCGGCACGTGAGCAGCAAGTGATCCACTTACTATGTAGATGTGATTGTGTCCTGCTCTACTCTCACTTCTTCGATGTCTCCCACCAGCCATACCACATTGCTCAGTGGGGGTGACCCTATACTTAGGGATCAATGGATAGTGACCATTGGGTTCCAAAGGCCCAAAAGGAAGATAGGACATCATCCTAGAGACCAAATTCCCTGCATAGCAAGTACTTCTAAATAACTCTTTATTCTAAAATGCATATGCCACATGAATATAATGATAAAACAGGAAAGATTTTCATTTACTAGCGGAAGGTCATTACACATGCCCAAACCCTCCTCTCCAACACACACGTGCGTGCACACACACACACACACTCGCACACATGGGCACATGTGACTCCTCCCTGTTGCCTGGCAGGGGAACCTGGAGGGAGCTTACAAGACACAGGCCTTTGGAAAATCAAGGCAAGGCTCTCGCCTGGCATACAGGCCTCTCTAACCTCACCACTGCCCATCCCAGCCTGGGGCCTTGGCCTCCAGCCCCCACACGGTTTCTCCCCATCTGCCTTTGCTCACGCTCATTGACCCGAGAGGCCAGGTCTTTCCTCCACCTCCTCATCCGACTAGATCCTACTTGCTCTTCAAAACTCAATTTAGCCATCATCCCGTCCAGGAAGCCCTCCCAGACCCTCTCCCTGGGTCTCCCATTAGGACCCCTACTCCCTGCATTCATCTTCATTCTTGCGCCCACATCTCTCTCCTACCAGCCCAGTCTCTTGAGGATACAGACCACAACTGGCTCATCCTTGTGTCCCCAGCACCAAACACAGGGCTGGGTCCATGGCTGCACTTCAAGAACACTGGCCAAAGGGGAGCGGGGGATGACAAAGTCTCTGCAGCGCTCAGAGCCTGAAGAGGGCTAATGACATTTTCTACATCACCACAGCGACCACTCCACCCGCGCCGGGCCCCGTGAGGGCTGGCCCGCACCTCTCGGCCAGCGTCTGCTGCTCGTTGATGCCCACGTTGAAGAGGACGGGCTGCACCCGCAGTAGCATGCCGCTCTGGATCTCCCGGGGCAGCGCGTCGAACAGGGGGCCCGGTAGCGGGATCCGCACGTTAAACCCATCACTGCAAAACAGTGAAGAGATGCAGAGGACGGGTGAGGGCTGTGACGAGGGAGAGGCAGGAGAGGAGGCGAGTGGGAAGAGGAAAACCAGGCTGGCCTCGATACGAGAGTGCAGACTGGCCGTCTGGCTCAGTCGTTTCCAAAGTGCTGGTCATGAACTTTAAAGGTCTGTGAAGTTAACACAGAAGACCATGATCAATGTCTTTAACTGAAAGAGACACAGTAAAAAAATGACAAGGACGTCACGTGTGATGAACATAAATTCAAACACAGGGCTAGCTTTGACGATTAAAAAAATCTTTCTACCGATTTCCAGTGATGACAGGCAGCATGTCAGTCGATGCATTAGACGTGGCCTGAGTGACTTTGAAGGTCACGTTCCTCAGGTCCATGATTCCGAGGCTCATGTCCTCCAGCATGGCCAGCTCCTCACCTGGATGCAAGAGAGGGATGGAAGGCTGTCAGGTAGAGGGGCCCTGCCACTCTTCCCGCGGGCTCAGCACGGCCACAGAGCTGGGCACAGATGGGAGGTGACGGGATCAGGCGTGGCTGTGACCAGAGGGGGCTCCTCCGAGCCTCTTCACCAGCAGACTCATGTCTCCCCACGGCCACATTCAGCAACACCGCTGGTGGAGACTCGCACCATGGTTCCCAGCCCTCTCCTGGGGAAGGACAGCGTGGGGAGGGAAACCACATGCACGGAAGCTCAGAAGGCAGAGCTGGCGCCTTAGAAATGGACAGAGACAGCCACACTGCACACTGTGGCCAGATCCCTCTACTCCGTGGGGCTTGGTATTTATTTGAGGTCTTGTAACTCCAAAGATGGACAAATACTTCTTTAAAAAAAATCATCTATTTTTACCCTCTCAGACAAAACAAACAGAAAACGAAAGTAGGGAGAAGACGGGGCGCCTGGGTGGCTCAGTCGTTAAGCGTCTGCCTTCGGCTCAGGTCATGATCCCAGGGTCCTGGGATCAAGCCCAGCATCGGGCTCCCTGCTCCACGGGAAGCCTGCTTCTCCCTCCCCCACTCCCCCTGCTTGTGTTCCCTCTCTCCTCGTCTCTCTCTCTGTCAAATAAATAAATAAAATCTTTAAAAAAAAAAAAAAAAAGAAAGTAGGGAGAAGAGAGTCTTTTTCGAGGGCAATTCGGAAATATCTATGAAATTTAAAAATATTCCTACCCTTTGACCCAGAAACATTCCCTCTAATAAGGCAGTGGCTGCAGAAATGGGCCCACAAGCGCACAAACGCTTGTGTGCAGAGACGTATGGCAGCACTGTTTCCAGAGGAATAATTCAGAAACGGCCCACATGTCTCACAGGAAATTAGTGCTTAAATAATTATCGTCCATCCTCAACTAGAAAGATCTTTAATTGTAACCACCACCACCAAGAAAACAAACGAAGGGGTGTGTGTGTCACTATACAGGACTTTTATTTGGTCCTTACATACTGTGATGATGTCTGGATTTACTTTAATCAGCATGTACTGCGTGTGTAATCAGAAAAATATTTAGGAAGAAAGAATGGGCACCACGCACATCCGCGCTGCTCACAAACCCCAGGATCCTGGAGGCGCAGGGGGTGGGGGCGCCCCTGCAGGCTCACCGTAGGTGCTCAGCAGGCTCTCGAACTGGGCCAGCAGCCCGATGGTGTAGAGCTGCCGCAGGAAGCCGTCGTCATGCAGGCAGTTCCTCAGCTTGATGATGAAGCCACAGATGAGAGCGGTCAGCTGTGGGGGAGACACGAGGTGAGGCCGTTGTGGGGGGCAGACACCTCCCCACTAAGTGGCCCCCAGCCCGCGCTGCGCCCTTGGCCCCGAGTTTCTCTGCCTCCACGGCTCTGGTTGGGTGGCAGCAGCACCCCTTCCCCTCCTCCACCTGGGGTGCGGGGGGCACTCGGCTCTGAGGCCACGCAGGGCACAGGCCACGGGGAGGCTATGTGGCACTCCAGGCTTGCTACTCCAACTGCTCCCAAAGGCTCGTTAGGTTTTGGCTCAGCTTCCAACCCAACCTGCCTGGGCTTACTCCTGGGCTAGAACCTTCTGGAAGCCCAGAATTCATTCCCCACAGTGAAAAGGGCCTATATTATACTCATAGATCCAGACCAGCGCTGGCTGGAAACTGAAGTGATCACAACAAAGAACAGAAGTGAGAGAAAACACGGCCACTCTGCAAATTACCTCAGGGGGAGACTTTCTGTGGGGATGGGCCAGCAGAACCTCAGAGCGCCAGCCTGACCCTCTGTCACTATTCACTTTGCTAATGTGATAACTGGCATCTGCTAAACTTGTGACATTCACTTGAGTTCTTCCCTTCTCCAAAATCATTACAACAGTTGTGCACGAGCAACAGGACTAAGGCACCTGCTGTTTTATAAACCAGGAAACACACCGCACTGATAGCAACATCCGTGTCTCCCTCACTAAGCTCCTTTGTGGGAAGAAGGGTGGCCAAGAGGCCTGGGCCGTCCGAAACCCGGCACGCCTCGGGCAGGAGCAGGGCATGTGCACAACCCACCAGCACCCGCCACTTCCTCGGGGAGAAGCAAGCGTGGACTCAGACCCTCTCATAAATACATACTTCTCGAGCAGGATTCCTCCCTCCGGGTTGAAATCTAGACCTCTCTAGTAAAGAAACTTAAGAGCCACAGGCAGGGGCAAGTGTTGCCACCCTTGGTTTTCTCAGTGTGAAGTGAGAAAGATTTTCTAAGGCTGTGTCTTCTGGGGGCAGGGGTGCTGACGGGCCTGCCGGGGCTTACGGTTTGGCAGAAGACCACATCACGGCGGTATTGCAGGCTCAGGTACGTGGCTATGGTGGGAGCACTGTCCTGCATAAGCAGGAAGACCATTGCCTTCTTGGCCTTGTCGCTCATCATGGCCACGCAGTCTGTGAGGGTGGTCAGCAGGGGGTAAAGGGCCTCGCTCCATTCACCTGGGCACAGAGAAGGAGTCGTTTGAGGAGGAAGATTTTAAGAGTCAAGTTCCAGAAATTTAGCGAGTTTTGGGCCCCTAAAGCCTCTGTGCCCCTCCTTCCACCTCCCCACCCCCTCTGCATCTTGTAATTCTGCTTGGCCCAAGCTCTGGCCCAGGACTGGCACCGAGTTCTGCCTGGAACCACCCCGGTCTCCAGCATTCTGGCCTGAAGCTTTTCCAGTAAATAAGCAGCAGACCTACTAGGGACCACTGAGGTAGGCCTGGTCTCCCCGACCTATACTAGGGACTGTACCCACAAATGCTCGAGATTATTCCTTTTGAGGAAAATGACCAAAAAAAGCTTCTGCGAGTCATCTGCAAGTCACCACTGTTCCACCACCCAGGGAGAGAAGGGCCCCCATCCTGCTAGAGCAAAGGACACCCCCATCCTTGCGCAGTCGTGTGCGGCTGGGTTACAGTCTCACTTCCCACGTCTGTTCCACCCGGTGTCCCGGTGGGGTTTTCAGCTCTCAGAATGTCCCCCACTTCTGCCCTCACTTTCTTCCCCAACCCCGACCTTCCCGCCTGGTGCCCTCTATTTCTGGTTTAGTTTTCCTGTAGAGATACTAGGAAATTGTGACCCTGTACCAAAACAAGTTTTTAAAAATAGAACCCTGGGGTGGAAAAACAGAGTTAAAGGTATTTGGGGCTTTGGCTCTTTTTTGCCTTCCTATTTAGAAGGGATTTAAAGAGAAAAGACATGCCCTCATCAGTTCTACTTATAACAGGTCACCAAGCTCAGACATAGGCATTTAACCATCACCACGGGTGAGCCTGCCAGGTGCAGCAAATGGGGCACAGGCGGGGAGTGGAGCCCGGACAGCACACGCCCCTTAGGATGAGGGGCGAGTCTCAGAACGGCCACAGACGTCATCGCACTGGGGAGAGGCCACGGGCCGGGCAGGCGGGATGGCCGCCAGAGGGTAAGCGCTGTCTTAGATAAACAGAATCTAAGAGCCACAGAGAAGGGAGGTTGGCTCCACTCCTCTCAAACTGTACAAGTAGCACTTTGTTGAGAAACAGATTTATAGAAAGGCCTAAAATTGCAAAAGGACTTCCCTATACTCAGTGTTTGGTTAATGCACATTTTCAAGTATATGTAGCCATTCAAACTTTGGAAATTATCTCACTGTGGATGCGGGCACATTGTATGTGGACAAGGATTTGTGCCTGTGATGCAAAAAAAAAAAAAAAAAAAAAGCAGGTTTAAATTTAGAAAGTCTACAGCAGAAGTCACGGTGACCAAGGAGTGGACAATGTGAGTCTCAGGCCCCGGTTTCTGCTAAGCAGTGGTGGCCACGGACAGGTCTCTTGCCTCCTTGGCCACATGGATCCTTTCTGGTAAAATGGAAGGGCTCTGCTAGGTAACACCCAAGTCTCTTTCCTCCTCTAAAAAATCTCAGAGGCCATGTTTTTGTTTCTCTGAAGAACTCTGTTCACACATGTAAATTTTATTCAGCAGCATCTATTAAGAAAGACCAATGGCAGCTTAGTTTTAATAGCCAAATAATTAGGGTTTCATTAATTAAGTCATTACCTAAGAAGTAAATGCTCATAGAGCAAGTAAGTGTTGCCAATTTTACTCTTACTTTGATTTCCCACTTAACATGCATGTACGTATGTAATTAATACGCATTTTAATCTGAAAATGGTCACAAAGTACAAGTGGTCTTTGCCGACTAAGCAAATCTTCTCCAGGCAATACTTCTTGACTTTACCTACTTCTCTTTCAAAAAAAATCCGTTTAAGTACGACTTGGTTTTGTTCCATTGAGGGGGGGGGGAGAAACAACCCTGAAAAAAGTTGGGAGTACAGGAAGAGTGGCTAAAAAGCACTAGGAGCTTGTCCTGGAGAAAAGATGTGGGTCTGGGTGGGAGATGTGTCTGCCATCCGCCTGGAGAAGGGCTTAGACATGTCTGGATGGCTCCAGAGTTCAACAAGAGGGCCAACCACCATGTATGTAAAACCTTTCATCTGTTTTCTCATTTAATCCACAGAGAGAGGATTATTAATACAGGTAAGGAAGCAGGCTCAGGGAGGTTAAGTGTCTTCCCAGACACACAAAAAGAACAAGCATTTGTATGGGTCTAACTCTAAACTCTATGTTATTTCTATTGTGTCAGACTGCTTCTGCCAAGTAGAGAGCAGAACTGGAGGGTGAAAATACATTTGGGGGGAATGCAAAGAAAAAATAAAATTAGAAACTTCCAGACAAAATGAATTTCAGGGACAGAAATGGGATGTCTGCCAGGACCTAGCTAAGTAAAGATATTGGGAAGTTAGATTTGATAACAGAGTCGTACTCTGCTCCTTTTGTCAAGAAAGTCTTGCTATGAAAAAAAAAATCAGTTCAACTCAACAGTGTCCTTAGGGATGTAGCTGATTCACTTTTGGGGGTAAGCTCCTTGTCTAGTTGCTAATCTGTTAATGCTCGATGACTGGTGGCTAATCCATGGACTAAGCATTCTACGTTTGGTAACTTTGAAGGGCTTTTTCAAATCCATGCTCTGCTTTTGTTTTTTTGTTTTTTTTTTTCCTCATTAACAGGGGAGGGAGGGAGAGAAGAAAGGAGAAAAACTGAGAAAGAGTGAGAGAAAAAATGTGTTTGTGTTTTGACTGAGATAAAATAGAGCTCTCCAGGGAAAGCCAAAGGAACTCTTGGCAGGGGACCATTTTAGTCCATTGACATTAACTGTGGACAAGCCACCAGGGCTTCTAGAAATGACACAGCTGGTATAAAATTCATGGTGCTATACGAGCTGAGAGGGTTTGCTAAAACCGACAGGGAGAGTTTGGTAAATCCCCAAATCACTAGTTTACTGCACTCTAGATATAAAACAGGTGTCCTGCTACCTCACATTTATATCCAGTCAGAAATATGCAATCATCAGACTGATCGGGTAGCTGGTTTTGGGGGGGTAAGCAAAAGCATATTATTTGGGGGGGTCTCATGCTCACTCTGGGGAACCCACAAGCCACAACCAGGAAATTCAACATGAACTAGAGCAGGGGTCGGCACCCTTTTTCTGTAAAAGGCCAGACAGTAAATATTTTAGGCTCTTTTGAGGATGATGGGGTCCTTGTCACAGCTACTTGACTCTGGTATTGCCCCACAAAAGCAGCCAGACAACATGTGAATGAGTGGATGTGATTTCCAATAAAACATTATTTACAAGAGCAGGCGGTGGACAGGACTCGGCTCAGAGCTGCAGTCTGCCGACCCCTGAACTAGAGCCATAAACACCGACTCCTACATGCAAAGGCAGCAGAAAGATTCCATTTTTGCACTATCTCCAACTGAGCCTCTTAGCAATGCCTAAGAACTCTGAGCTGCATCCAGACTCAGAAGAGAGGACGCTGTGTCATTGTGAATGCTGCAACATTTGGCTGGCTACACCCCTTCCGTGTAATGTTCACAAGTTCAGGTGGAATCACAGGAAGTATCATTTACAAATATGCCCTGTGCTGATTCAGGAAGTCCAACGCACCCGTGGACACAAATCGTCTGAAAAGGTTGTATGATGGGCAAGCGAGAAAAGCACATGGGGTAGCCTGCTTCAGGCCAGCATCCCCAACCCAACTGGTTCCTCACCAGACCTAAGAGAAGTTGCTAGCTGCCTCAAATGAACACACTCCTAAAATATTTTCCTAACTCTGGAAGCATAGGCAGTCTCGGATAAGTCAGCTCAAACACCACCTGAGGATTAAAAAAAGACATCTGCAGAAGCCTTGAATGGAAACCACGTACCTGGGCTGGACTCGTCAGGAGGGGGGCTGCAATCTGCACAGAAATGGAGGGCGACACGGATGATTAAGGAGCAGCACAAAGTTCAAACATGAACAACTCAGCGCTTACAGCAACTGCATCGGCAGCCGGCCGTAAGGTGGCTCAGCTGAACAGAGAAGAGGACGGAGGCCTGGCCGCCTCCTCCCCGAGAAGTCCCACGCGGGCGCTCGGCTGCTCTGCGGCAGCCAAGCCCTCTTGGTGGTAAACACTGACCGACGCACTGATTCATTCATTCATGTTGCTAAGACTTCAACATAAAATGCTCTTCAGGTAAGCAAACTAACGTATTACAATGTGATAAAGTGCCCACATCGATCACATTGTACATGGCGGAGCCCATGTTGGCTCAGAGCATCTGGAAGCACACTTGTAATGAGAGAGACTGACCAGCAAATTGATCATCCCCAATTCAGAGCCCGCTGCCCTGACTCACGAGTGGAACCTGGGCTGCAGACTGACATGCCGGGAGACCCAAAGGTTAGGATCCAGTGATGAAACCAATATACCACCCCACATCTATGCCAATCTTAAACATTTAAATCAAATTTAAAACTTTTATGACTTGGGGGAAGTCAAGAATTACAACGTCCCTCCAGGTCATACAAAGAATGCCAATTTTAATTCAACTTCACCTACACTGAGTCGCATTTCAGCAAGTGAAGTACTCATTTCAATTTTGTATTTCCCTTAAAAACTACAATTCCTTGGTTAACTGGGCGTGCCACCTGGAAGAAGACGAGTCTGGAAAGGGGTCATTTTATGTCTTCAGGGTACTGAAATGGGTGGTTTTAGAGCCCCCCAAATAGGTGGAACCAGCTGTATGGAGACGTTTACCAGCTGGGTTGCCCAGAGGTGGAGGTGGCAAGGGATCCCTCTGCTCTAGGCATCTTTGAGAGTGACTTCTTCCACCGGCAAAGGCGATAGAACAGAGCAAACATGAAGGCCCCTGTGAGCTGAAGACTTCAGCCTCTTCAGCAGAGCTTAAGTACCCTGAGACCATCTGCCTAACAAAGAGAGAAACCCACAGTGGTGTGCGGTGACGCAGAACAGTGATTCTTAGACCTCTGTCCAGCTAATCAGAACTACCCCAGTCTTGAGGAAAAAAAAAATACAGATTTCGGCCTCCCCATAACCCTTCCTCCAAAATTCTGAGTCTGAGTGAGGAGGAAGGTCGAAGGGCCTGTTTTCATGATCTTCTGTGGTGATCCCAAATAGCTGGATTGTGACCATTCCCAAAAAGGTATTAGGGGTTAAACTCAGCCGGGTAAACTCAATCTTTCAGTCAAAGCAGGGAATGTGTGGGGGGGGGGGGGGGCGGGGGGGGTCTCCTTCAGTACTCCTGGACCAGTGGCTTGTACCCTGAGATTTGATGACCACTATATACCTCCTCTCATCCTAGCACATAATCTCAGGGACATATGAACCTGGGGTTCAGGTTAAAACAACCTGGTCTGGGGTTTGAATGGTTCTTCAGCCATGAGGAGAGGATGAGTGCATGCATGGCAGGACATGGAGGCCACCGGACGGGGTGGCTGTGGGTGGTGATGCAGAGGGATGTGGGGCACTTGTGACCTGGGTGGAAAGCGGAAGAAGGAAGGCGAGACTCCCGGAGCCTCTGTGGTTCCAGCTGGCGGGGACTCGTCAGTGGGTCCCACAGTGGTGCGTGCCTGCCAGGCAAGGCTCTGGTAAGTTCTGTGGGAGAGCGAGCTAGAAGGCAGCATGACTCCTTAGCAGAAGATGGAAACCAAAGACTTAGGAGAGGGTGCAGAGCTGGAATGAAAAGTCATGATGCCTTTCAAAGAGGCACAGAGTTCTTTGTATATAAGTTGGTGTGAACACAACCTGTTCATTAGGCCTAAACAACTGGCCCAGGAAATTGGAATGGTATAGAAAGTCACAACAGAGCTGGGCTCCAGCCCTTGAGGGTAAGAGACCGGATAAAATAAATAGCTCGCCATCTCGTTCTCTCTGATTCTCCTGATCACATCCAGCTCTGAACGGCTTCCTAGCTATGCTCAAGATTTTTAAATTAGGATCATCCACAGTTAATTTAGTGGCATACGGTTTCATACATTTCTTTGAGTACTGATCAGCCAAGTTAGACTCTCTCAAATGTATGCTTCATATTCCCATGATTACAACAGAGCTGATTTGCATGGCAAACACAAGTCATACCCTAAATACCATAAATAAATGCTCATTTAAATAACTTGAAAACTGCATTTAAATTTGTCTACATTTGACCAATACAGGATGTTGCCTAGAAGGAAACTGACATTTAAGTTATGGATGTAACAGAATATCTGATTAAATAAACTCTCTCTGGCATTTTTTTTAAAAGCCCAATAAATTACTCTTTTTATATCTGCGGAAAAAATTTTAAATTACAAGCAAGACAATATTGAAGAGAAATGAGCAATGAGCGTTATTTTTTTTTTTTAAACACACAATTTACATAAAAAAATGAGAAGACAAACAGGACAAAATAGCTCCATGAAACCAATCACAGGCTTGGGGAACTGAAACTACAGTCCTTCACAGATGGAAGGGTGGAGGACGTGGACACTGTTGAATCAGAGGCTCAAGTGAAATCGCACCCTGGGAACAGACTGCAGGCAGATTGAAAAGGTGAAGGGCATCTTACAAATAAGGATTTATCAAGAGGCTCTGATAGAGGAGCAGCTTCTGCCTTGAATGAAAGCTGTCCAATTCAGAAATGAAAAGTCCTTGCTGTCTGAAGGCTAACCTTCGCACATCTGGGCCTTACTAACCACAGTGTACCATTCACAGAGGAGAGCAGAGGAGGCAGAAGCTAGGTCTGCAGCCGGCTCTCAGCTGCCTGGCCCATGACCCCCTCCAGCTCCTACAGGAAAAGGTGGAAGGCCCCGAGTGGCAGGGACCGAGGACGGCCTGGCGGAGAAATCGTGCGTGCCCAGCTTTAGGGCTACACGCGGGACGGAGTGTCTGGTTGTGCTGTCTGTGCAGGCAGAGGACTGTTGCTGAAGCATGCTGCTTCATGCCAACGTCCTACCATCTACTGAGAACCCTGCCTCAGGGGCGGTGCTGAACAGAGGAACCTAACTCAGCCCCAGGAGCGGGTTCCACCATCTGAGTGAGTGACCGACAAGTGCCAAGGCAACTCCCCTGCTGGGTAACAGCACAGCCGGCTGATGACAAGCAGCCTTTGGACGAGTCTGCTGAGCCCGCTAACAGCTCTCATCCGGCTGTGTCCCTGCATGATTCACCTTTCCCTTGATTCTACCAATTCCTGGTGCAGTCAACAATCTCAGAAGAAAAGCATCTGCATTTCGGCCTCCTGCAGGTTCTCAGACTGGTTTACAAACCAGAACAGCCCAGGAGCCCCACCCTCACTGATAGGGCAGTGACACCCAAGACGGCCTTGAGATTCTGCCTTTGCCGGACACGCAGATTCGCACACGGGCTCCACGGGCGTGGACTACGGGGGCTTCTGCCCTCACCGCCCGCTGCTCTGTGCACTGTGACAGCCGGCTCTGCCTGACGGCCCTCCCTGCAGTCTGCATGGGGGGAGGAGGTCATGGAGTCGGACACAGACAGACAGACAGACGCAGCGTGAGGTGGAGGCAGCATGAGTGGGCAGCGTGGATGCATACGCACGTGTGGTCAGGTGAGGATGGCATGCAGGTGAGGATGGCATCGAGCAGATGGTGGAGGGGCATGGTGAGGAGGGCACATTGCAGAAGGGGTCTTCCGGGTTGATCCAGTAGGCGTGGCTGTCCCGGTTACCTTTCTTGCTGGTACAGCTGCCCGCGCACGGGAAGACATCCTCACAGCCTTCGCCATGCAGGCGCTCCTTCTGCAGCAGCTTGTCCACCCGCTGAATGATGCACTCCAGGCTCTTGTCGACGTTCAGCCACACTTTTTCCTTCCAAACCGAAAGGGCCCATCTGGGTCAGCTGTCCCAATGGGAAAAGCAGAACAGAACACCACCCCTCCCCGTGCCCCCCTCCCTGCCCCCTCACACACACACTGATTCCCCCACCCTGGGCCACTGTGATCATTAAAATACCACAAATTTAGAAGTATCAAGATTAATTCAGAATTCCCTATTACAGTTGTATTTGCTTTTCAAAACACAAATCAATGTACTGCGGTCATTGTTTTTAACCAACTGAGCCACCCAGGCGCCCTAACGGTCATTGTTTTTAAAGTTGGAGACACGTTTGCTAGTAACTGTCACGGAGGCCGGACAGGGCTTCCCGGTGCCCTCCAGAGCTGGCAGCAGGACCACAGGGCCCAGCGAGCCAGCTCATCCCTCCTCCCTCTGCTGCAGACCTCCTACAACCATCAAACACACAGGGGACTGAGGGAAGGTAATGGAGGCAGCCGGTCACTTCAGACGGGGGCAGTGGGGAGGTGGGGAGGCAGGGCTGGGAGCGGTTTGCAGAAACCCACACAGAATACAGGACACCGGGGCAGGGCCTGAGGAGCCCTTCGCTGCTGACTAAAAACTCCATGCCTCTAAGCCGTAGTCCTAAAAAATGACAAAACGAGTTGTGTGATATGTCCCTCCCTCAGGAGAGACAGGGGCGGCTCTCAGGGCCACTCTGTCAGGAAGAAGGATGCAACGCATACAACGTCAGGGGCAGCGTCTCCAGACTCCTCCCCTGTCCCCCCAAAATACAAATGGCCCTGGAAGGGCTAACTGCGTAGAGAGCTTTGAGGAAGCAGGGGGCCTGGCTGGTCTTCAGGAGATAGTGACAGGAGACGGGCCTCCAGCAGGCAAGAGCTCCATGGAGAACATCGCCCCCTTTACAGCCGGGTCTGACACCAGCCTGGCCTGCGGCAGCCCTGCCCCTCAGATGAACACAAGGTGTGAAAATGCCATCTCCCTCCCTAACTCAGGGGGTCCAAGAGCCACCCGGGAGGAGACTCGGAGCTTATCTGCGAAGCAGCCAACCTGGTAGACACCTCTTGGTGGCGAGGGGCTGGCAAGAGGCTTTGAATTTTTCAACCCAAGCTCAGTGGCAGAATGAGGGCCAGGGGCAGCAGACTCACCCACTCCTCCTCGTGCCAGTCCACCTGCAGAGAAGACCGGCTGTTCCTCCCCGTCCACCTGGCCATGAGGGTGTCCTGGTCGTTCCTAAGCATCACCTGCTCCTCCTCACTCGACGTGGGGGAGGCCTTAGAGGCAATGTAGTCGGGCCGCGCCGCGTTCAGCCCATGGATGGAGTTGGCCAGCAGCTTGCAGTCGCACACGGTGACCAGCTGCCGGGTCTGCAGCACACAGAAACCGAAGCCGCTGGGGCCGGTCGTCTCTGAGAGCTCAGGAACCGTCCTGAGGCCCAGCTGTGCACCCCTCTCCATATAGGAGCCCTTGGGATGGCTGAGTTTAAAGGCCCCCACAAAAAGACTGGACGACACAGGGAGAATGAGGAAGGTCGAGAAATCTCTGACATGCTTCAGTCCCTGCCCTCCTCAGAGCCTGACGTGACTCAAGGAAGGGCCTGAAGAGAGCCCAATGTCCTTGCCTTCACTGACATCCTGGGCTGTCCTCTCTGGCTCCAGGGGACAGGCAAGAATTTGATGCGATCACTTAAGTCTTATTTTTTTGCATCTAATACTCAAAGCCCTGGACTCTGGGCAGTGGGACTCTCAGCATAGCACTATGGTTCTGGGGAATTCTGTATGCAGCAGGAGTTCTGTGGCTCATAATTTTCCTTCTGATAACATCATCTTTCTTTTCCAAGTGGATCTAATTTCCAGCTCTCGATCTCTTTGCTGAGTGAACACATGTGAAGGATATAACACGTTCTGATCAGGAACAGCACCTCACCCCAGCAAAGTGGGTGTGAGTGGGGAAGTGTGATCAGAATCTGTATATGTGTGCGCATGTGTGTGTGTGAGTGTGTGTGTGTGTGTCGAGAGACTGAGTAATTTGAAAAAGCACCATCCATCAAAATAATCTGGTATATCCAATGCCCCAGTATGGACCAATATTTACATATTTATATCTGTCTATATATTTTTTTAAGATTTATTTGAGAGAGAGAGAGAGAGAGAGAAAGGGAGAGAGTGGGGACACACACATGCGTAAGTGGGGCAAAGAGCAGAGGGGGAGAGAGCATCCCAAGCTGACTCCTCACTGAGCGCAGAGCCTGACATGGGGTTTGGTCCCAGAACCGTGAGATCATGACCTGAACCAAAATCAAGAGTTGGATGCTTAACTGATTGAGCCACCCAGGCACCCCTAGATATTTTTAATCAGGATCAAATTACAGTTAATTAGAAAATGGCTTATTGATTATGTGAAAGCCAATGAAGTTATATTTCCTTTATTGTATGTCTGTACAATAACTCAGTTTTTTCAAATTCCAAGTCAATAAAAATTGGCAAAAAATGTGCTGAGTAGGCAGTTGCTAAGAAAGCCGTGGAACTACCTCAGCCTCCAAAATGGACCCCACGGACTTGAGGGAAGACACATCTGCATGAAGCAGCACTGGAAGTCACCAGCCCTGGGTGCTGTCCTTGGCTTGCCCTCATCCAGCTCTGTGACCACAGGCAAATCACCAAACCTCCCTGGGCCTCTGGGGGAACTAAACCTGAAACTAGATCTTCAAGGTCATCCCAATGTCACCTTTGGAATGGATGGCTCTAAGCACACATGGAGTGTCCAAGGGCTTCCAGAAACCCAAGGGAGCCCCCATCTCACATGTAGCAGGGTAGTGCCCCCTACCTTGTCTGCCAGGATGGCGAGGGTTCTTTCGAGGCCAGTGGCAGACCTGTCCTTGGCCGCCCTCGAGAGCCGCTCTGCATAGTAACTCACTTGGGTTTTCAGGGTATTGATCTGGGCAATGATCTCCTTGGCTCTGATGATGTCCTGTGGTATGTAGATTATGGACTGGCAGCTGGATGGTGTACTAGAAAGGATAAGAACAGAGTCTAAGGGGTCTCCTCAAATCTAAGAGGATGGCAGCAGCCTCCCAACCCCAGCCCACAACCAACACTAAGTAAAGCGTTCTGATACTCAGGGATGTTCTCCTAGGCTAGTCTAGCTGCTGATGGGCAAAAGTAAATCTCAAGAGATTCTTTCTGTCTGTATGGTAGAAGGCTTTGAAATATTCAAACACAGTGAAGTCCTTTGTCTCTGTCTGTATGTGTCTGTATTCTTACATAAATGCATATACAGATATTGAATCCAATAATTACCCAAATGCTCGTAGCCTTCCACCTGAGAACCTCGCCTGTCCATGTATTGGCAGTTTCGAAGTGGAGGCACGGGGTCTGTTCATCTCAGAAGAGGTCAGTTTATCACAGTGAAGGGAGACTGCCGTGGGGGCTAGACTTTCCACAAGAGACCTGTTTCTTCATTGGGCCAGTCTTCAAACTTTCTGTGCACACACCCAAAGTTCTCCGCCCTCACACCTCTGACCCTGACCACTAGACTGCCTTCTCCAGGACTTCTCTACATTGAAAAATAATGTTCTATCAGACGAAGGAGGTGAAGAACATGCCAAGCCAGAGGCCAGGCCTGGACACCTCAACAGTTTTGAAAACCTGGCTCTTCCTCCTTCCTTCGTCACCAAGCAGTGTGTGATCTTAGATCTTAGGATTGACATCAAAACCACAGCCCAGTCCCTGCACGGCACAAACACCAGCCTCCGGAGAACCGACTCGTGTCCCGGCTGTGTGGGGCCTGGCTACCATGTTTGGCCCTTCTAGATGGAGGTGATAAATCCAAGTCTCTCGGCCAGGATCCCCAAATCAATCTAATAGTATAAAGTTAGTTTTCAGACCATCTGAGGAAGGCAAGGAAAGCACAGAGTAGTATAATGCCCCAGTGGGGATGTCTCCTGCGATCTGAAGTTGTGAGCTCTAGCTGGAATGGGAGTCTCAGCCTTCACTGGTCCCCATCCTTCTCAGCCTTCACGGGTCCCCTCAAAGAGCTGCCCTTTGGGTTTTGGGGAAGAGGGAGAAGGTGGGGAAGAGGGAGAAGGTGACAGCATGACCTCCATCATTTCCCTTGGATATGAGGACTTGAGGCGCCCCCCCACCCCCACTGGGCTCTTTGGATCCCGAAAGCAGGTCTCCAAAACACCTCCCTTGACAGACTACGGTGTAAACATGCAAAACCCAAAAACCAAAGCACCCCAGAAAAAAACAACACCCCAAGCCCACACACCACGATAAAACACGATGGATTTGCCAGAAGCCCATGCAGCAGACCACAACCAAGCCTGCGTGATCTGAGAACTAATTTCACAGCACGATGTGCACACGACTACTTTCCAATCTGCAATCACTCTTCCAAATGAATAGCTGCCATTTGACAATTGAGTCTTAAAAACACAATCTCAAATAGGATTTTTAAAAATCTGTCCTTCCCTGGCCCCAGTCTTTAGAGCACACACGCAATGTGTGCTTCCTGTAGATATATGTGTGTGTATGTAGATGGCTGTGTATACTTCGACCAGTATATACGGTCCCCCAAGCCCGAAGGAGAGCACCGCTCCTACTCACCTTGTGTTCCTACAGGTCACATTCTAGTAACAGTAATCTGGGGCTTACACACAGGAAGCTTGTGGTGGGGGGTGTGGAAGAGTAAATTTCAAAGAGCTGCTGTTAGGGGATGATGGTGAGTATATGAGCACGTGTGCTCAGTCCTAGTCCTAGAGACAGGGAAAGCCCCAGAGGCCTCAGCTTTCCTGCTGTCCCCGGCAGAGAGCTGCCATGTCGGGCAGGACCCCGCCATGGCCCCCGAGCTCCCCCAGCTCTGAGATGCTGTCACCACGCGAAGCGCCACTGCAGAGCCCTGGCTGTCGCCTGAGCAAGCGCGCTAGGCACGGCTGGGGAGGGCCGGGGGCAGCCTCGGAGCCCCTGGGCTGCAGACACAGTGCTTTCTGGCTGCCATCTAATTCTTTGGTAGGAAAAAAATCACTTGGTCATATCAATTCTTGGTTTGCCCTCGGGGGGAAAATTGGCCCAAGGAACACTGTTTTAAAAATCTGCATAAATTATATTCACAAAAAACGGAAGCTGGTTATATTCCCATAAGAGGTGATGGTGAAGTGAAAACGGAAGCCCTAAGATTCTCGTAAAAGAGGCCAGACAGGGATTCCCGACCACCCCGATGGGTGGACCTGAAATGCCAGCACCCGGGGACTTGCCCGGCCTGGGAGAAACAGGGTCCTCCCTCAGAGCGCACACAGCAACAAAGTGCCACTGGATTTGGAAGGTAAAATGGTAGACTGGAGATGGGCTATTCATTATCAAAGAACATTGCAGTTGGAAGAGAGAATTCTGTCTACGAGGCTATAACCAGGGCCCCCTGGTGGCACCGAGGGCTGAAGCACCTCACCGAGGAGGGGACAGCACCGGCTTTCTCTACAGGAGAGCAAGACCCAAACAGACACTCTCTCCACAGACAGAAAACTCACCAACACTCCTCAAAACTGCTAAAGAAAAGAACCAAAACGAAATATTAGCAGTTAGCAAACACCAAATGCAAAACAAAAAATTAAAAAGCCAAGTTATCTTTTGTCAAAATCCTTGAAATTACGTGTCGAGGCACCCACTACAGGGACCATAAAACTTATGAGCCCAATGTGCTTATTCATCAGAGCAATGTCCGTGTCTGTGCGCAAGCCCCAGGGGGACATTCCGCCTGTGGGCCAAGTTCTGTCCACATTTAAAGTACAGTTCAAATAATGAAAATCATTTCTACAGGTGATTTTAATAACATTAGAAGGAAATTAAATGAAAATTTACATTATTTATTTGAAATATACTCCAGGAGCATTTTGGAAGTAAGGACTTCTGAAGTTAATATACTGGGTAATCAGGTATCAACATCCTGACCTTTCCAGGACAGGGACGGCAGTGGCGCCCCCTCCTGATGGGCTTTCCCCTCCAGGGTCCCCATGGCATCCTCAAATCTCCCACTCACACCCCCACACAGCCACATGCAATGGAGTGACAGACACACGCTCTCTTGGCTGGCTGTGCAGAGCTGTGGGGAGCACTGGAAGCTTCCTCTTCATCGTAATTCCCAGGGCACAGCAGAGTCAGTGACTCCTCAGGTGGGTCTGGCTTGTCTGGGAGGGGAAGACCCCTTGGTGGGATCAATCAAGGTCAAGCGGGCTGTCTGGGGGGCCTCCCAAGAATGTCGCCTGCCCTGAAGGCTGAAATTCCCCTTCCTAACCACTGGCCCTTCCTTGTTCTTCCTCCTGCTGCCTCCAGGGTTCACTTGGCTCCGGGCCACCTGTGTAGACATCTGAACGGTGATTTCTCCTAGTGCGCTCTCTTGCACCTGCCGGCTCACCCCTCCAGCCTCGCCCCATGGGCAGAGAAGCTCCTAGCTGCATCCCTGATCCCCTTGGCCCACTGACCGGCCACTGTACCTGACCTTTCACCCCTTCCTTGATCCAGTCTGATGTCAGTTTTCTCAAGCCGCATCTTGACTCCTGGCCATGGCAGCCCAGAGCCTTGATTCCCTGGCAGGTGCTAATACTCTCCACCTGGCCGCCTTGCTGACTCTCTTGATGCCCCCTGGGCCTTGGCTTCACCTTCCCTCCAACTGTTGCATTCTCCCTTGGTAAGTCCCACCCTTTCAACTCCACGTTCTGCACAGGCTGATTCACAGTATCTTCAGCTTGTTTCTTCACTCCTCAAGGACCTCTCTGCACCCGACCTTCTAGGACTCCCTGCCTGGTCTGGCCTTTGCATCTCCAGAACCTTGCTCCATCGACTTCTCTTACCAACAGCTCTTCACTCTCGCCATCCCCATCAGCCTGAACACATAATCATGTGATAACCGTTCTCCCCAGGCAGACACCTGCATGCCATTTCCTCTACTCCATGGTCCACGGATCTCACAGGACCATCTACACTCGTTGCCCCTACTTCTCACACTTGCCTCCCCCATCCATTTAAATCTTGACGGGTGACATTCTGGAAGATCACCAATGCCTCCCACATATCCAACACAACAGCTGGGGTCTGTGGCTCTCTCGGCGTCACCCCCGCTTCAAGCACGGCCCTGCTTGCTCCAAGTGGTGCTGTTGACTTGTCCACTCCCGGGCAAGACCAGGAGCCCCTTGGGGCCAGGCCTACCTCTGTCACCCCTGCATCCAGGCTCACCAGAGTGTGGCCCCGCACTGAGCAGTCTGCCAGCAAGGCTGCCCTCCCCCTCAGCTCCTGTCCTCAAAGCACCACGCCTCAGCCACTGCACGCTCCACAATGCCCTTCCCCAACTGCCTCCCTGGCCATTTCCTGTTTGGACTGCAGCTGCGTGCAGCTCCCCTCCCACCCCCCCACCCCACTCCAGCCTTCTTAAAACAGGGAATGTTTACCACTGCAGTCGGCTCAGGAAAGGAAGCACTCTCTTCCGGGCTTCACACTTTGTGGCGTTCAGCACACACTGCACACCTGGCATGACGGACCAGGGGCTCTAAGGGACAGCTGAGGTGGCAGAGAGTCCACACGGGGTAGCCACCTTCCAGGGGGTTTCAATTTGCTGTTCCTTTGCAGGGTCAGGACCACTAATCAGGCGCCCTCACGCCCCGCCCCCCAGCTCAGTCACACACACAGAAGCACCCGGGCCACGAGGCAGTTCCTCCCGCCGCACAGAAGCACATCGGATGGCTGGATGTTTTTGCGGTCACCTCTTGATTTGTTTTTTCTTTGACCTAGGAAGCACCAGACAGCTGTACAAAGACCCATGAACACCCTCCAAGTACTTACTGCTTCTTGGTCTCTTCAAATTTGTGCAGCTTTTTGCGGAGACCTCCTGACTTAAAACCTTGGCAGTGCGCAGCTGGTGCCCCGATGGTGACAATGTCGTAGTTCTGATCTGAATGACAGAAAGCTCTCCTCCGTTACTCTGGGCTCAGGCCTGTGCACAAGCCAGCTACAGGGGTATGCGCGCAGCTCCGGGACCCTGCCCTGCCAGCCCAGTGCCAAGCGGCCCGCTCCCTCAGCCCCACAGCCTCGATTTTCCAAGGGCCCCTGGAGCCCAACACCATCATCTCAGCAGAGAGAGGGTTCCTGCACGTCTCCAGATGGGGCCACAAAGGGCCGGAGGCAACCACCGGTAACACTCAGCTTGCACCCCTCCTTGGGAAGGATACCTGACAGGCGACTTGCTGCCACAGAAACACAGAGGGAAGCTGGAGGGAGGACGGACGAGGGGAAGGAACAAAGGGAGGGAAAAACCTAGGAAACCAAGACCTTACGAGGGTCCTGTGCCATGTCTCTTATCTGAGTTGCCAGGCGGAAGCACACACAGGGAAGGCTGCACACGTGTGGGGCAGTGTGGGCACCAAGCACACGGGGGGAAAGGAAGTCAAGTGTGATTTAGTGAGAGGAACAGAAAAATAGTTACCTGACCCCCCATCGTCTTGAACTCTCATCCTCTGTATGTGCAAGTTTGTGGGAACAAATTCTAACTTTTTATCTGCTTTCAAACTGCTTGCTTTAAACGAGGGACCTAAGAAATGGAATATGAGAAAATAAGGACCGTTGACATGTACCCTGCATTCAGGAATGGCGAGTAGGACAGTCATATTCTGAGGAAGCGGCCGCGCATAGGCAGGTACGTGCTGGTTGTGGCCAAGAAAATTCTGAGTTGCCCATGAGCACATTTCATTTCCAGAGAATAGGCTGGGTGAAACGCTAGAGGGAGGGCAGCTCACTGGCCAGAAGACTGGTTCTGGGTGCTCAGGTGGTGAGCAGAGCCAGCTAGGAGCAGCTTCAGAAGGTTACGGTTACTGGTGCCCTGCCCTCCCATGATCAGCTCTCAGTTGAGAAGTCTGACATAAAGACTGATTTTGTGCAACACGATGTCAGCACTGCTATAAAAAGCAAATGGGCCCATGCCAGGGACTGCCTGTTCCAACCCTGGAGACCGCCATCATGCAAGATCTAAGAAATTGGTTCAACCAGAGCCACACATCTCAATTCCACAAAGAGATGACCTCAGATCTATCAAGATGAACAAATGCTACATAGCATGGATCCTGGCCCTCTGAAACACAAACCTAAACGTGTTCCCTTGATTATACTTGGGGGGTTAAGGAGGTTGGATGATGTTTTATAACTAATATCTACAATCTTGTTTCTACGACCAGAATCCAACACTAATTAAGAACTACGTGCCTAGAAAAAGAAGGGGGTTACAAATTCACTGACAATCAGAAGAAGAAATAAACTTTCTCTCTAGTGATAAAAGGTAAATCGTACCAGTATACAAAATGCAGACCAGCCATTGTCTGCTTTGCATTTTGTGCTAGGAGACTGTCCTCCAGGGCCTGATACTTACAGGAGGCCCAGAGATCAGCAGCAGTGGCATCCTGGGAACCTGTTAGAAATGCAGAATCCTAGATCTGCACTGCAGCAAGGTCTTCAGGGACCAGGATGCACACTGACACTTGAGATGATCTGCTCTGGAAAACTCAAGCTCATGTGGGTTTCCCGCTTTCCCAGGTAACAGGTATCCGGCATGGGTAGGTTCCTAAGTCTCTTCAGCTATATGCTGCCAATACACTTAGACCTGCCCTTCAGATTCAAACCAAACCCAAGGGCACCATCGTCTTGACCTGACTGTATGTGGCTTCTTCTCAGCCAAGTTCATGGACAGGTTCATATCAAAACCTTAATATTAGGACTTATGATTTTCTTTTAACCCTGAAATTCTATTATGTAGTTGGGGGGGGGAGGGAAGAATCTGAAGAGAGAGTATAAATAAGGAAAAAACAAAAAATTCATTCTATTTTGGAATAAAAAGGGAATTAGTTAAGAAAAGTCTTCTAAATCTACCCTTAGAGTATTTTGAAAATCAAACAGGATCTTTCAAGAAGAAATGTGAGGTGTCTATGCTTCACTTTCTTTTTTGAGCCTTAAAAATGGAGAGCTCCACTCAGACAATTCAGATGTTTGATACAAGGACTGTTGAATATTTAAACTGGGAAATCTAGGAAACCACTTTGTCTCAAAGCAAATGATTTACATCTTTTGGGGCATTTCCCTTGGGCACTTTAGACCAAGACAAAAAAATAACATGAACCAACAGCCTGTGATTTTGTCTCTCCTAAATTTCATCCTACATGAGTTGCTTTGGCAGATGACACCATAGAAGGAATTTTTAATGCAATTCACATACTCGTCTTCTTAATTAAGATCTGAGAAAGCCATATTCAAAAGAATTCACACCTACATGAGAATCTATTTTTAAAAATCCATTAGCGTGTCTGTCAGGGAGAGTATTTGAGCCAGGTTCTTGTTTTCTAGCTGGGAAAATGGAGACCCAGTACCCACCTTTGTACTGATGGAGGTCAGTCAGGTTCTCCTGGTACGTGAGGATGATGGTCTGGTACTGAGTGACAATCTGGCGCCGGAGGCTCTCCCAGCAAGGGGACAGATCCCCCAACTCCTCCAGCTCACACACTCTGCAAGGAAGACACACATACACACACACACATACACACACATACATGAGGCTGTGGAGGTCTCTTCCCTGGGAGAGGCACAGGTGTCCCAACCAAGCAGGAGAACAAAACGGACATGGAAGTGTGGTCAATGCCAGGGAAGGCCTCGGACAACAGCTACACTGCAGGTCTACACAGCAAGCAGTGGGGCATGGGACACACCACTCTAGGAGGACTGGCTGTATGACGGGCAGACCACTCATGGCAGAAACCCTGTCAAATGTCCGGGGAAAACAAAGTGGAGGAGAGGGGCTCTAGGGGAGTGGCTCCTTGCCTGGACCCCCACAGGCCACGTGGGACCCTCCTGGGAGATGAGATGAGTGGAGGCCCATAAGCGACTGCTTGAGGCCATCTCACTCACCGGTCTCGCCCAGGGGAGGTTGTGAGACAGCTTCTCACTGCCCCCACGTTCTGGGGAGGCCTGGGCCTTCCTACCTGGCCCCTAAGAACATTGCTGCAGAACCTAAAGCTGCCAAGCAGTGGTCCACAGTTGGCCGGCCGGCCGGGGGGTGGGGGTGGGGTGGGGGCATGCTCTGCTGTGCTCACCCAGCCCCCTCTGTTTCAGGGCTGTCCCTCGGGGTAAGGGACAAGGGCCATAGGGGGTTGGCAACTTTGGCTATGCTTTCTTTCTCCATGTGAGTAATGAGCTATGTAAATCTAAAAGTAGCATGAAGGCAGGGAAAGGGAGAAGAGAAGAAAAAAGAGGATCTGTCACCTCCAGAAAAATAAAAGCTATATAAGAACTGAAACATAACTATCTTAGCTCAGCAGTAAATAATAGCTACATAATCAGAATAATGAAAACACAAGATGGACTTAAAAAAAGGGCGGGGGATAACCATATTAGGAAGCTGGGGAACGGGAAAGTACAAAAGACCTAAAATCGTCATCACAGGGAATCAGTAGCTAATCCCCAAAACCGGTTAAGAGAGCATGCTATACATTTATTTAGAAATACACTGGTATGCTCAAATGGCTAAAAGTGGTTGTTTCTAGGAAGCAGATCAGAGAGTAAAGGGCCCCAAGACTTAGGTCATTGTTAAAAGCCTTTCGACACTATTTGGTTTTTTTTATACTATGCATGTTTTCCTCTGTGGGGGAAAGAAAGCTAATTTTATGGAATCTACTAGATTGTCTGAAGTTAAAAAAGAAAGTTGTACCATTTTATTATGAAAATAGCAAAATCAAAGTAAAAGAGTATGCACGCAGACGAGGCTGTGGTGAGACGATGTCCTCGCTCACTGCTGGCCGGCTGGCCCTGCGGCCGCGGGTCTGCTCATGAGCACACGAGCCCCATCTGCTGGGGTTGCTGCTGGACCCTCTCCCATGTCTCCGCCTGTCTTTCTGCTCCTTCTCGTGCTTCGGGTGTCAGTTTAATGTTACCATCTCACAGAGGCCTTCCCCTGACCACCCCCCTTCTCACCACCCCTTCTAATTTCTGCTCCCAGCTCACACAGCTGGGGCTCGGGGAGTGGCCCCCACCTCTCCAGAGGGCCTGCCTTCCACGGTCTGTCTCGCTCATCGAGAAGCCTCCCCACACCACACACAACACCAACCACATGCGTGAAACTGGTGGGAAACACAACAACAACAAAACCGTCAAAACCAAAGTTCTTGTGAAATGAGTCAACTCTTCAAAGTTACAATCTAGTACACCAAATAATGGGAATTTACACCACAGTTAACATTATAACACGAACACTGAAGATCTGTGCAAATGGAGATGGGAGTTAGGAAAATCTGCACAAATATGGAAAAGCTGAAAGGAAAAAATTTTTAACTAAAATAACCATAAAATAGTACACATACAGAGATAAAGCAGCTCATTGCATTATTCTTGTCATTCTTAGATTGAGTTTTTTCAAGATAAAAAATTTTTAAAAATAGCTGTATTCGAACAGTGAGATCCTGACTGCACTGTGTCCTTTCATGTTCTCATATTGTGTTCATAATTAACACCATCTTATGACATCGAGGAGAAAGGACATGTGAGGAAGATGAGCAACACGCTCAGCGATCTGCGGCGCTGAACCCCCTCTCGGGCTCTCCCTGCTACGGGATCAATGGAACATGCCCCGGGCTGAGAGATACGGAGGACCAGAGGGCCCAGATGGGTCACTCATAGCTCTCTGTAGCCTCTATCAATGTGCCCCTCCGCTAGGAAACCGCTGACCCGGGTGGCCAGGACTCAAGAACGACCAGCCACTCCTAACTTTCTACAGGCTGACTGAGAGCGGAAAGGAGGTGGAGAGGGAAGAGAGCAGGCACTGCGTGCTGGGCACACCTTGTCTGGTGCTTCCTGCACCTTGTCTGGTGATGGCCTCGCACAGGAACTCAGGAAACAGGTGAGCCATCGCAGGCTTCAGCAAGACAAGGCCACCAAGCAAGCAAGTGGCGGCGGCTGGGTCAGAAGCCAGCCTCCCGGCTGCCAGTGCTCTACCTACCGCATCTAAGAACTTTCCATAAAGGAAGGGGCAGCCGGCCTGCCTCACCTGGCTGCGTCTTCTTCCAGCAGGAGCTTCACGAACTGCCGGGGCACGTGCAAGGAGAGCAGGCTCTCTGCCATCTGCTCCAGGATCCGCAGGTGGTTGCCGTCTGTGGTGGGGAACCGGTACATGCGGCAGATGGCGCCGCCGAACACTGAGGTGGGGGGTGCGGAGGGGACAAAGGCTGTGTGTGAGCCGGCGACACACCCGCCGTGTGGGCCTTCCTCCCCCAAGCCCTCAATGGTGCTTCTTACTGTTCCTCTTGAGAGAATGAGAACATTTAAACCAAAGCCCACCAAAGTGACTGAGCCTGGCTGCTCCTCCCGCTCCCGCCCCCCCCCCCCCCCCCCCCCCGCCACATGCAATCTTCTTGTCCCAGGACGTGGAACTGACTCTGGAGTTCAGGGGCGGGGGTGGGGGCGGGGAGGGTGTCAGTCACCAAACCCAAGGTAACACGAGAAAGAGTGGAATGAAGGAGGGACCCCCCCTACACACACACCCCTTGCTTGGAATATTACTAACTCCAAATGCTGGCGAAAAGCACGGCACTTAGAAACGTGGCAGGGAGGTGACAATCGAGGGGGTGCCTGGCCGTGACAATCCGAGCGGGTGGGGAAGAAAGGGTGAGCACAGGCCCGAGTGGACACTCACAAGAGTGGCAAGAGTACCAACGGAGGAAGCTGTTTACCCGATTTCAGTAAAGTGTCTTTTCGCAACGAAGCATACTTGGATCGGATTCCCAGCGCCTCTGTCAAGCTCTCATCAACAGGGAGAACCATCTAATGAGGTGGACAGGAAAGCAGAGAGAAACAGTGAGACCCAGACAACTCCAGAACACTCCGCAGAAACGGGGCCCATGTGCATCATCAAAGAACTCTATTTAAAGATTTTATTTATTTATTTGACAGAGAGAGGCACAGCGAGAAAGGGAACACAAGCAGGGGGAGTGGGAGAGGGAGAAGCAGGCTTCCCGCCGAGCAGGGAGCCCAATGTGGGGCTCGATCCCAGGACCCTGGGATCATGACCTGAGCCGAAGGCAGACGCTTAATGACTGAGCCACCCAGGCGCCCCATCATCAAAGAACTCTTAAAATTAGTACCCACCATTCACTCTACAGCAATACACTGCCCCAGCCACAAATTAATCCACCTGCCAGTACACTGCACTCAGGCCACGAAACACGATTTTCTAGTGACTAGGTCACTTCACCTGGTTCTGTGGTGTTGTGACATACAGAATTGAGAGGCAGGAAACAGACAATGCTCAGGAACGTTTGCACAGCTGACCTCCCAGGCTTGTTTTGGGTAAAATGAGCTAGCTCCGTATTTTACAGCAATGACCCCTCACCAGTGTTTGGTACATTGGAATTGTAGTCTGAGAGCATGAGGGGCCTGTGCGAGCAACAGTGCATGGAAGACAGGGTGCCAGAGAGGGGGTGGAGGGGAGGAGAGGAGGAGAGGTATGTGAGAGGCTGCAAAGGGTGTGTGGATGGGAGGCGCACATAAGGTGGCTGTGGGGCACACGTGTGCCTGGTAGGGAAGCTCTAACAAAACAGCAAAGGTAATCCAGGCCTCATTCACACCACCCCCTGGCCTCCCTTCCCTGCCTGACTGCAGCTCCTCTAGCCGGGCCCCCACCCAGCAGAAACTTGCATGTCATGCTCCCTGAGGGACCCCCTTCTCACTACTTCAAGCAGCGCCTAGCGGGGACGGGCACGTTCTGCCTAGGGGGCCCTGTCTTTCCCTTCCCAGAGCACAGAGGCCAAATCCATCTGGACAGATCCTCGGACTCCTTCCAAGAGGAGCAAGGCGGCATGCTCACCCTCCCATTGACGGTGTCCAGAGACCGGGTCACAGGGGGCCGCTGGTCTGACTTCTCCTCCATCTGCCAGCCGATCACGGTGATGTTACCCACGCGGTCACTCTCCGCAGATCTGCCACGAGCAAAGTGCTTTGATAAGAGGCACTGTACCTGCGCTTCGTTTTCTGCTTAAATGCAAAGCTCAGCCACCCTGGGTCATTGGGCGGTCAGTCAGCCAGCATTCACTACATGCATAGGCTCCAGGGGAGGCAGACAAGGAAACTGTGAGAGCAGAGAGGAGGACTACAGCTGGGAGGGGACACAGCACCACAGAGAAGTGTAGATATGCTTGGGGTACGGTTGGAGGGGAAGAGCCAGTGCTTGCTTGGGAGGCGCCCATCAGCCCCTGGGCTAATCTCTGCCCCAGAGAGTGATGAGGACGCATCCCGGAAGCAGGACTGGAGAGCACCTTCTTCTGGCATTGAACCCCCTTCTGTTCCTTCCCACCCACCTTTAAGCTTTAATTACACCCAAGACCTAGGCCTGGACCCCAAGTAAGTGGAGGGTTTCCCAAAGCATCCCAAAGATGGTATGATACAGTTAATGCCACTCTACCCTGCTCAGCTTCATCCCTGAGACCCCTCAGGTTGGCTGCCAGCAGCCCGGGCCCATCCACTTCATCCAGGGAGGCCCCAGGGATACCCTAACACCTCAGGCCTTTTATTTACGGTGTCTGACTTAGCCAGGTTCTAAACTTTTATGTGGTCATATATACTGACAATTTCTTTTGTGGCTTTTTCTCACTGTTCTAATGCCTGGAGAAGGGCTTCCCCATGTTCTCTGCTCAAGAGTCCTATGTAGCCCCTCTTCAAAAGGAAGATGTCCATTTCTTATATTTAGCTCTGGTCCAACTAGAATTAGTTCTGGCGCATGATGTACCTGAATATTTTTCTCTAGCAGCCCTTTGCCCCACACGACCCCTTGCATTTTCTGTAAGACCAGTCCTTCCTGCTGAGGCAGGCTCCCTATGCACACTGAGGGCCGAGCAAGGCTCTCGCTCTGCCCAATGCCTGCGACTGCTTTCACCGTAGCTTTAGAATGGTGCACTGTCCAGCAGGTGATTAACCCTTGTCAAATTTCTTTTGCTATTTTGGACTATCTTCCCAACTTCTACATTATTTTGAAAAAAAGAACACCATGTGTTGGGGTTTCAGTGAGAACTGTCCCCGAAATGAATTTGGGAAGGGCTGATATCTTGACCTCTTTCATCTTCCTTTCAGGGATACAGTGGGGTTCCCCTTCCTTCCTTCCCTCCATAAATATTTATTGAGCACCAGGCTCTGTTCTAGGTGCTTAAGATACAGCAATGAAGCAAAGCAGACAAAAACCCTACTGCCTAGGAGATCATATTCTATTGGGGAGGGAAGAGATGATAGACAAAAATATTGAGTATTATCAGATATGTATCTAGGTTTTCCTTTAGGTCTGCATACAAGAGGGCTCATATTTCCTATGATGGGCTCTGATGGGCTGAGTTTTAATCTCACTCAAGTAAGCAACCACCTCCTCACTGACACCAGCCTTTGGGAGGGGGCTGGGCCCTCTCTGAGTGCAGGAAATGGGACCTCCCCCCATCTGTCCCTGGACCTCATAATTCTAGATCCTCTCAAGGGAGTAAAATTAAATACCAACCTTAGTGTTAAATGCAACCTATGATGCCTGTCCTGGAGCAGATCTTTGACAATGAATGTTCCAGAACCCAGTAAATACATCTGAGGAAGAGCGGGGAGAGAAGCCATTAGTACGCTTGCTTTGCCTCTGGTCCAAATACCAGGCCCCAGAGGAGTCCAGCAGGCTGGTTCCCACAACACATCTGACCCGTTCTCAGGAGCCCAATAGGGATGCTCAGGAAGAAATTCCTAAAGACGAATACATTTGGACATCAGTGACTTTGTGAGCAAAGTAGTGAAGTTAATCTTTGTTCACCTCTCACTCAGATGATTACAGAACTTAAAAAAAGGGAACAAAATCCCATGAACCATAATGTGTTACTTAACTGTTCCCTGAGATCGATCTTTGACATCATACACGGAGAGTTTGATTTGGGTCATCTGATTGATAAGAGAGTCTTGAAAGAAGGCAATACTGCTTAGAAATATAGGATTGTTGGTTCCCTAGAAGAGAAAGGAGAATAAAATCAGAATACAGAGTTGGCTTTTTCCAAGTAATTGCTTTGGAAACACACCAACACCTTCAAAATGAGACACTAGCCTTCTTACTGACTTGGATCAACACAAACACGGATGGTAGCCTAAATGGATGCCTACAAAACAAGCCCAAATCCTGCTTAGAGAAAGGACAGAGTAGTGTGACCTGCCTCGAAAGACGCAGCCACCACAGGCAGGCCAACCACACAGCCGCGCCCGCGGGCTCACTCTAAGAGCTACTCGCTCACTGGAAGGGATCCTCTAAGAGTGAAACGAGCTGGATGTCCACGTTGTATTCTTGGTATCACCACTTCAGATGAGTGATGTATTTGGATCTCCTACTTTGGGTTGTTCCTTTAAGATGTACAAAGGCAGATGAGAGAAGAAATGAATGGCTTAAGTCGTTTCTTATTTCCAGAATCCCATGGTTAGAATAATTAAGAACTGACCTTTTTAAGGCTATCCTTTTCAAAAGACGAGCTGTGAGTTTCTAGCTCATAGGTGGCCATTTCCTAGCAGCTTAGCCCTGTCCCCAGAGCCCCATAACATATTCTCTTTCCCAGGCAGTGGTTAACTATCTCAGCCAAATGGTTGAGTTCCTGTTTGTGCGTGCTGTGGGTTCCATGCCTCCAGCTATGCTCCCTCTGTAGCTCCAGATCCAGGCTCTCAAGGTCTGCTGGACGGCCCCTCCTGGGCAGCCTGCTAGGACCACAGCCCACCCAACCTCACCCTCCATCTGCCCTTAGTTAAGGCCATCTCTGGCTCTCTTCCCAAGGAGGCTACAAATGTCTGCTTTGGTGCCTCTTTCTCCATCATTTTCAACCACCTAGTGACAATGAACTGCTCCCACAAACCCACCTCCAGGGCCTGTCACATGCACCCTTTTATCCACTGCCAGTCAGGTCCTACACACTCCCCGCAAGTGACTATCAACTTAGGACCTCCCTGAAACACATCTAGTCAGGCGACTCCCCCCCAAAATGCTTGCACTGGCCCACTACAAACTCCTGGCCTGACGCTCAAGGCTTCTCTCCCTTGCTCCTCCACTTGGGCCTTTTGCACACACATAGCAGGATAAGGTTATTCTCCAAACCCACATGACGCTTTCCTGTTGCATGCCTTCGCGTGACTACCACAGAACTCTGGCGTGCTCTTCAACACATGGTCCCCAGACTGGCTGCATGGGCATCACCTGGGAGCTTGTGACAACTGCAGAGTCCTGGGCCCCAACCAGATCTCTTAAGTCAGAACTTCACTAAGCACCACCCGAGGTAGCCTCTCCAATCCTCAGAGCTAGAAGGGCCCCCACCTGCCATGTGCTGCCTTCCTCTCTCTACTCCACCCCTCCTGACACAGCTGTGTGGAGACAGACCACGCTCGCTGCCTCCCCACCCACAGGATGGGACCGGGCCTCCGAGGTGTTCGTATCATCCACGGCGCCCAGCACTGTGCTCCACGGTGCAGGCAGTGCTCAGCAGATGCTTAGAAAACAAAACTGTTGATCTGAACTTGGAAGTAAGTTCCCAAGAGAATGAAAAAGGGTGGCCTACATTCCAAAATGTAAAAGGGGGAAGAGGAGGAAATGCAGTTTAAGTTTGTTTGAGACTGCTAGGGAGGGGTTAATTCACAGAGACGCTCACATCACAGCCAAAATCCTGCACAATCTCGCACAGATCCTATACTCAGTGTCATAACTTACATACAGTGCTCAATTATCTAAAAGGAGTTTGTAAAACTCCCAAGGTGAATGCACAGCACTTAATTTAACGTAAAACGTAAATATAAAACACACAATGCAAAAGGATGTAATAAGAAAGCCAATAAAAATAGGGGTATGTCCAGTAAGAAGGCTGGTTAGTAGTTAACACTCTTGAAACTGTGATTAACGAACACAACTCTCCGAAAGCAGCCACCAAATGACAATGACAAGGAAGAATGGGCCCTTTACCTCTTAAGAGGCAACAACCTTGTAGGATCACTGTTCAAAGACAACCAGCCAATAGCTCATCAGTAACTGTAAAGGATATGGCAAATACAAACACCACGCAGATGAATGTGGAGAGAAACATCAATGTACCGAGGACCCGTGGAGTGCAGCTACCAGCGCTCAGGTCACCCGCAGCCCTCCCATGGAGGCTACAAACACGGCGCGAGCCCCTCGCACAGCTCAGGGTCGGAGCCAGCAGCACCCACCTCGATGATCTCCGTCTGCGCGTGTTTTGTCCAGAATGCCTGAGGAGGGGTGGTGACGCTCACTGCTACAAAACTATTTGGTTTTCGATCTAGTGATGGAGTATGCAACTCACTGCAAGCTATGGAATCAAGATGGGAAAGAAACAAGTCCTTTAAAATCAGCCTCTGGTTAGTTCTCGGTTCCAAGCACCCCCAGAGAAAGCAAAAAAAAAAAAAAAAAAAGTCAGTGCCACTAAGGGGATGGGACAATTACACTGTCAGTCATCATGTGGAGGTGATCTTTTACATTGGAAACAAGCTCTTCTCAATAGTCTAGTGGCAGCTGGTCCTTTTGCTTTCATAGTGCATTTCACAACAGATAGTGTGTTCAATTCAGAGGATCATTTTTCCTGTGGGTCCCCTCCCCCCATCCCCCACAATCCCCCCCGTCCCTCCCCCCTCTCCCCATCCCCCGACACCAGGACAGCAAGGCCCTAAGTGCAAGTGGAAGACTGACCTGCTCTGTGTCCACGGACTAGAACACAAAGCCAACAACCTCACATGGGGTCTGACCCATAATGTTGGACCTTAATAACTAACTGAGCTTCTAACCCGTTGAGCTATCCAGCCACAGAATCAAGACACAGCTATACATGCCTGCATCCTATGGCTGTGGTGACTAGCCCTGAGCCGTGGTGCCCTGCAGGTCTCTGTGTGGATGTGTGTTGGAAGCAAATTTAAAAATCTGTGGCAGCATTAACAAAGGCTTTTGTTTTTTTTAAAGACGTCATTGCTCATTTATTCTCCTTATAAGACTCTTACCAAATGCAAGATTACTAAAAATGTTACTTTTTGGAAGTAACAGTACCTTGTAGAACTGTTTTGGTTGCAAAGTTTATTGTACTAATAAGCATTCTGAAATAGATAAGACTCAGATCATTCTAACACAGGAGTGACCCACAAGAAAAACGATCCCATTTCACTGAATCGAACACATTATCTGTTGTGAAATGCACCATGAAAGCCAAAGGACCCACTGCCATTAGACTATGATATGCTATTGATTGTAAGACACTTTTTGATTAAATAGATAGTAAAACAGAAAAAAACCCACACATCTCAGAACTGATGAAATACATAGTAAATCGAAGTTCAACACTGGTAGAAACAACTGCCTTTTTTGGAGGAGCAATAATGCTCCCCAGACTGCTGCAAGTCTCTGGTCAGTTTCCAGAAATCTCAAACAACTGACTACGACCATTTCTGCCAGTGTTCTCAGTGCCTTTACAGAGGAGAGGATCTTTGGAGGTCCTTACTCTGCCATGCCTGCCCTCATCATTCCCAATTTTTTAAATGCTCACTGGTGATTTAAAATACAGAAACTGATTTTTGCTTCTGAAAAATAATTTTAGTTCTCTCTCCATTTGTATTATCTTCTCATGTGCCTTTATGAATTTTCACTATTTATTGGATATAATAAAATACAACGAGCTTAGGTTTTTAATTCAATTAGTTTTGACAATCATATGCACCTCTGCAACCATCACCAAAATAAGATGGAGAACTCCTTTAAAACATGAGACTAGAAATATCCCCCTCATACTTCCCAGTCAATTCCCCAGCCTCTGCAACAAATTTCTGATTTCCATCACTTTTGGCTGTTCCTGAATCTACGTTGTTGTATGTACTGATAATCACTCTTTTTTTAATTGATGAGTTAGATTCCATTGTATGAATGTATCAAAATTTATTTATCCATTCTGTTAATGGACGTTGGGTTGTTTCTGGTGGTGAACGATTGTAAATAAAGGTGCTAAAAACATTCCTGTTTATGGCTTTTTGTGGACGTGGATTTTCATTTCTTTTGCGTAAGTACCTAAGAGTGACATTTCTAGGTTATAGCGGAGGATATGTTTAACTTTGCAAGATGCTAACAGTTTTCTAAGGTAGTTGCACCACTTTATAATCCCATCAGCAATGGATCTGAGTTCCTGTTGTTCTGCATCCCCGCCAACATTTGGTAGGGTTAGTCTTTGTTTTATAGTTTTCTGATGGATGTGTTTGAATTTGCACTTCCATGATGATTAATGATGCAAAGCATTTTTTCACTACGTGCTTGTTGTTCCTTTTTATAACTTCTTTTGTCAAGAGTCTGCTTGAGTTTTTTTGCTCATTTTTAAACTGAATTGTTGACTTTTTTATTGTTGATTTATGAGTATTTTATTCTGGACCTGTTCTTTCTCAGGTATATGTGTTGTGAATATTTTTTCCCAGTCTGTGGTTTATCAATTTATTTTCTTACAGATCTTCAGCTTTGTTTGTTTTAGACTTTTAGTCTTAGGAAGTGATAGACAGGAAAACTGTCCCTCCCTCCAAAAAAGTGTCCACATCCTAATCCCTGGAACCTGTGAATATATTACATTACAGGCACTATGGCTGTGAGTAAGGTCATGAACCTTGATAAGGGGAGATTATTCTGCATTATTGGTGTGGGCTTAACCACACAAGCTCTTAAAAGTAGCAGAGGAAGGTGGAAGGGTGAGTCAGAAAGATGTGACTATGGGGAAAAAAGGCAGGAGAGATTCAAACCATGAAAGGCATTCTACCTGCCATTGCTGGCTTTGAAGACGGAGGAAGAGGGTCACAAACCAAGGAATGTGAGCAGCTTTAATAAATGAGAACCAGCTTCACCTGGCTGCTAGCAAAGAAATGGGGACCTCAGTCCTAAAACCACACATACACACACCAAAAAACCCTGAATTCTGCCAACAATATGAAGAGCAAAGAAACAAATTCTCCCCTGGCGCCCCCGGAAAAGACTGTAGCCCTGCTGACACTTTGATTTTGGTGTTGTAAGACTCCAAGCAGAGACATCACTGAACCCACTGGATTTTTGACATAAGCAAACTATAAGATAATAAGTTTGTGTTGTTTCAAGGTGTTCAATCTGTGGTAATCTGTTACGGCAGGGATAGCAAACCAAAGCACAGAGTTAGGACTTTTTGCACTCTGTCCAAGAAATCTTTGCCTACCCTGAGGTTGGGAGTGACCCTCTGTTTTCTTCTAGAAGCTTTAACGCTTTGTTTATTTTTAAGGTTCTCTTCTATTTCTTCTGCTAGGTCTGCCTCAGCAGGAGTCAGGGATTTGACCATTTCACTTGCTCCCCCTCCTTTAAGCTATGTGTTTAAGTGACTGAGGGCCTGGTTTTTCTCAGCTCGCCCCTTCATCATGTGTGGGTTCTTAACACCCACGTGAAGCTGGAACATTTGGGTCTCTCAAGCACAAGTGACAGCAGACAGAATGAGGTATAACAGGTGGCCAAAGCCAGGAAGATGGGTGTCAGGTTAAGGGCTAATGGGCTAAGTGCCACCTTCAGAACACACCCTCCTATAGGTAACCGCTCTCCAGCCCCAACCCCCAGCCAGCTCAGGCTAAGTCTCACTCAGTGTTTATTCCTAGCCCAAGGGCCACGGCTTCCAAGACGCTTCCCCTCAGCAGCCCACAGTCACATGTCCTGTCTGTCGCTTACATTGCTTTGGCAAACTTCCAGAGAAGCCATGAGTCTCTGGCACGTAGGCCTTGTCTCTCCAACCAAATCATCTGTAATCCCAGCTGGGTAAGTGCTGTCGACGAGGCAAAGCAGTAAAATGTATTTTAAGTACATATCCATTGACTCGGCAATTCTGTATCCAAGTGTTTATCCCAAGGAAATAATCAGCAAAACGTGTTAATGATCTATGTACAAGTATGTTCACCGTGGTGGTGTTATTAATGGCAAATTGGAAAGAACCTAAAATGTCTGACAACAGGAAATGGGTTACAATAAATATGGTGCAGCCACACAGTAGAGTCTACATAGGCATCCAAAGTGATGGGGCAGATCCCGTGTTTATTACAACGAAAAGATGCCCATGACATTCTGTCACATGAAAAAAAAACATGTTAAGAATACTAGCATGACATGGGGTGCCTGGGTGGCTCAGACGGTTAAGCGTCTGCCTTCGGCTCAGGTCATGACCCCAGGGTCCTGGGATCGAGTCCCGCATCGGGCTCCCTGCTCAACGTGGAGTCTGCTTCTCCCTCTGCTCTTCACCCTACTTGTGTTCTCTCTCGTTCTCGCTCTCTCAAATAAATAAAGTCTTTTAAAAAAAGAATACTAGCATGACATTTTTGTAGATAATCCCATCACTTCCACAGGCAAAAAATCATTAAAAATTCTGTAGAGCACTGGGTGGGTGTAAAAAAATATTTCTGGAAGGATCTACACCAAAATGCCAACTGTGATTATCTCTCTCTGATAGGGTATTCCTTTCCTCTGACATTTTCTCTATTACAGGTTTTAAAATGAGCACTTTTTAATTTTAAACTTAAGATAAAATATTTGACTATTCAATCCTGGGCGACTATTCAATCCTGGGCTCCTGTTCCTCCTTTTTTTTTTTTTTCATTGTGGTAAAAATCACTTAAAATAAAACTTCAAGCTGTTTCTTCCCATGTGCCTCATTCAAATGGCTATCATACTGTCCTTGATTTGCCAGAATCAGAACTATCCTGATTTCTGTCACAGGGGTGAAGATTTTTACCGATGTGACATCAACTCTAATCCTGTCTCTACACTCAATCAGTTTAGTGGGAATTTTGTTGTTGTTGTTGTTGTTAAATCCATGTTCTGCATTAGTAAAGCTCAGTGAATATTATTACGAGCCAAGGGGGGTTTTCTTCACTTCTCTCCTGTGTTAGGCCCTGTTTCCTGGGTCCCACGTCTTCCTTTTTCTCAATTTGCTCCCTCTTTTCGGTGGAACATATCCTCCACTCGCTTCCAGAGAAAGGATGTGGGAGAAGTAAGTTTGAGAGTCTGCAAAGCTGAAATAAGTTTCTTTCTCCCCTCACATCTGACTGAGTGTCTGGCTGAGTAGAGAATCCCAGATTATAAATATCTTCCCAGGTACATTAAAGGGCTCCTCCCCGTCCTCAAGTTCCCAGGGTCGCTGAGAATCCCCTCCGCACTAGTTTGACCCTGATCCTTGGATAGGACCTCTTTTGTTTCTTTCCCCCTTTCTCGAAGTTTTAGGATCTTCATTTTATTCCCAGTGCTCTGAAATTTCTTCAGGACATGCCTTGTTCTGGGGCTTTTCAATCATTATGCTGGGCCCTGGTAGGCATTTTTGGAAACACACTTTTCAGCTCTGACAGATTTCTTATCTTATTTCTTGGTAATTCTCTCCCTTCCACCCTTTTCTGTTTCCTCCTATAAATGTTGGGCCTCTGAATTTGCTAATTTTCCATTTCAATTTCTCTTCCATTTTCTATTTTGCTTTAAAATTTTTACTTTGGGGAATAATTCTTTAAATATCTTCCAACGTTTTTTGACTTTTTAATGTATTTTTTTAAAGTCATATCTTAAATGTCTAAGATTGCCCTTGTTCTTCAATTTTTTTTTTTTAACAGCATCCTGTTCTTATGTTACAAGTATGCCATCTTCTCTTGAGGATATAAATTATAATTTTTTGACGTTTTCTTCTACTTCAATGTCTGCGTTTCTTCCAAGTTCTGTTTTTTCCTGCTTCTTCTTTCATGTGTGGGCCTTTCACAAAGGCCTTTAATCTTTAACCATTCTTACATTTTGTTTTAAATCAAATTTGAGGTATTTATATATAAAATGTGCCCATTTTAAGTGTAGAGCTCAATGAGTTTTGACAAGCGTTTACATCCATATAACCACCACAGTCAAGATATAAAGAACATTTCCATCGCCCAAAGGGTCCCCTGTGCTCTTTCCAGTCAGTCCTCATCAGCACTCCTGGACAACCAGCTGATGGGTCTTCTGTCATTGTGGATTAGTCTTCCTGAGTTCCACATAAACAGAATCATAAATACACATCTGAATATGGCTTCTTCCACTCTGCACAATGCTTCTGAGATTCATCCACATATGTATCAGTACCTCATTCCTTTTCCTTGCTGGGTGGTACTCCATTGTATGCATGTACCATAGTGAATTCTGCTGATGGATATGTGGGTTGTTTCCAGTGTTGGCTATTATGAATCAAGCTACAGTCAGCATGCATGTACCAATCTTTATATGCACAGAAGAATGCCCATTCATTTTTAAGAATGAGGTATCAGAAGGCTGAGTGTGAGGGTGGGCTGGATGGTCTCCACTATAGTGCCTGGGTAGCTGGCTGGCCTACTTTCCGCTGGGGTCCAGAAAGCCGGCATCTGCCTCTTTGCGGGGAGTGGCAGTGAGTGGTTGACTTTCTCCAGAGTGAGAGCCTCCTGCCTGGAAGAATAAGCCTGGCCAAATTAGGATAAGAGGAAGAAGGCTGGGGAGGGCCAAGTAGGGAGTTTGTTATTCAGTAGACTTCTGGCCCTTTACCATGCTCTCCTCTGTGCTGATGGACCTCAGCCCAAAGCCTCTCTGCCTCCCAAGTTTCTTACGAGAATAACCACCAGTCCCTGCAGGACTGAGAGAATATGGTGGGAATCTGAACCCCAAACTCTTCCTTACACAAACTTTCCAATAAGCCCCTGCTTTAGTCTCTGAACTCCCCAGTATCTTTGGGACAAATCCACCTACCCTCACAGACAAGCAGGTTGTGACCACACTCCTCTCCATCTGCTCCCTCCTCCTCATGGGTTACATTTTGGGGGTTCCAGAAATGTCTCACTGCACAGAGTGTGTGTTTCTGTTTCTTATTCTTCCTGGCATTTGAGATGATTTAAGACAAGGGGGTGGAAATAAGTTCACTCTTCTCTTGTGAAACTGGAAGTCCTTGAGTTAGTACTACAATTTGTGAAGAGCAAGAAAGCTCTAGGTTGGGAGTGGGCAGCTGTGGGAATCCCAGTAGGGTTACAGGCTGCTTCCCCCAACCCCCTGTTCCCAGTTCACAATGTAGGACTCCCTCCCACTACAGAACTAGCCAGCAAGCCAGGGTTGGGAAACCCTCTGAATTTGTTTAGGGACATTCAGTCTGAAATGGGGATGTTTTCAAAGTTTAGTATTAATTTGATAATAATGCCCTTACATTTTTAAGGATTTTTGTCATTAGTCAAAGTTGTTTGTCTGATTTTGCTTTGTTTTAAGCACCATAATCTTCGTTGTCTCTCAAATGGTAACACCCCTTATAGCACATGAGGAAACTGGTCCAGCAAGGTCAAGCAGCAGGTTCAAGGCCATGCAGTTAGTTTGTGGCATGGTCTGGACTAGAATCCCGGTTATCTGACTCTTGAGGAGGTGCTCCTTTTATGTCATACCACCTCCTGGACACCACGGCCAGGCCACGGGCCAGTGCTGATCACCACCCAGGGGATGAGGGAAGGGGAGGGGAACACAGGATAGTGTCAGGCTCCGGAGGAAAACCGTCTGCGGCTGACCCCACCAGGCACTCCGACCTTCTGGGTAAGCCACAGTAATGCTGTGCTTCCCTGATCCCAGGGCCAGCACATTCTACTACAGTTCCTTAGGACAACTTTAGGGATTCAAGCCGGTATTTAGGACATTCTGACACTGCCCGAGAGGGAAAGCGCTAGCTGTCATTGCCTCCATCATTCCCAGAGCAGGGAACAAGGGCTAGACAGCAAAACTCAACCGCACAGGCCTTATGGCTGGGGCTGACAACACTGGCCCTGAGCCAGTTTTCCCACCCCTCCAGCCCTCCCCTAGGAGTAGGGAAGCCGTCCTTGCAGCTCTTGGGTGCTTATCTCCCACCCCCCCACCACGGCCAGCCTGGAGGGAACGTATGCTGAGGAGACCCAAGGCCTATGGGCCCCAGGTTCCCTCCCACACACGGGACATGCACACCTGCCTCATGGCTTCATCTCAGAAACACTTCGGCAGCAACAAGTTCTCGGATACAAATTCATGTCAGGGTCCAGTTTTTGTTTTTAAGCAACATACATTTTAAAACAAACAAAAAATTCAAAAAGATACCTACCTAAGCTGAATTCTAAAATGGGCTCATCTGGATCTTGTATATTTCCTGAATAAAAAAGAAATGATGAGGGGGAGGGGGCAGAATCACCCTTAATAAACTTTTCCTTGCATTTAGATTTTATTCAAAAGACCCAACATTCGACTCCCCCCCACCAGTAACTATTACATGGGATAATTTCTTCATTTTCTAAACATTTTGCCTCTGAGAGTCCTAAGAAGTCTCAGACTCCAAGACCAAACCACCCCCCTTCCTCAGCTCTGCACACCCCCAACAAGGAGGGCTTTGATCATGGCCTGGACACTTGCATAACAGGCACTTGCCAGACGGGCACCGTGGACATTCCCATATCACCTACTGGCAAATGAGCCCTGGGGGTGCCCACCCAAGCTGGAAAACTGCCAGCAGTCAGACTGCAATGGAAGCAGTTCCCAGGAAGAGGGCTGACAGCCCCTCCCTCCCCAATCCCTGATTCAACCAGAAGAATGCCATAGCAGGGTGCCCTCCAGCCTGGGGCAGTCACTGGGGGCTCATTCTGGTTGTCTGCAGGGGACTCCAGGAGGCAGGCAAGGCCCTCTCAGCACTGCTACAGTGCGGGACCTGTGTCTGGTGACCTTGCCCCAGGAACCTGGAGCAGGCCCCGTGAGGCTCACCGGCCAGAGAGAGGCCCAGCATGTCGGCTGCCACATCAATGGTGGAAGCCCGCTGCATCGCACGGGCCCTGGCGCCATGGCGAGGGCTGTGCTCTCTTGCTGTCATGATGTCATTGGTGATGATGTGCTTCCTGTTCCTGGGTCAGACCACGCCTGATTCCCCGGGAAGTGCTGTCACCAAGCCTTAGTCCCCTAAGGTGGCAGTAGTCCTGAGAAAGAGGCACAAACACTGGTAAGAAACACAGGGACACTGACTGAGAGACCGTGCTCTCGTGGAGAGAGTATGTGCCTAACACGGGCAAGTGAAGAGCCAGGGGTGGAGAGTCTGATGATCTAAGCCCCTTCTAGTGACCTCTTCCTCTACACTCTCCAACACTCACAAGTGCCACCAACACATATGCCCATGGAATCATGTAAGGAAATCATGTTCTCTTCAACGAAGACATGCCACATTAAATGATGGTTTAGATATAATGATAAAAGATGGCTCTTGAAATTTTCTCCTTTGTTTTATTATGCTCTTCTGTTCACAAGCTCATAGAATCTGTAAAATTAAATCAATTCACCTCTGTCAGAAGGATATGAGATGCATGAAGAGGTCTACCCCCAATGGCTATGACAGCATGGTGGAACATTGGAGAGACAAAGGCACATGTCTCCAACCTGCTCTCTTTCTTCCCAGAGCTACAGAAACCTCACCTGTGTCTTGGGCTTGGGCTTGGGCTTGCCTTCCTACAATACATGTGCGTGTAATCTATGCCTGACTAAAGTGGATAGTGCTGTGTGCGATGGATAAAGAAGTCTCTGGCAAAGTGCCACCACGCACTGAATCAGATGCCCTGCAAGACACATAACACACATTGTACTCTTGAAGTGGGTTAAGCAGCAAGAAGTGAGTTTCATGTTTTTCTAGCCCTCTATGTGACAATTCCTGCTGTCTCTAGAGGAACCAACCTTTAGAAGTGAAGATAATTAGACTGTACAATAAGGCTGGTTTAAAACACTCCTTACAAAGGCCTCCATGTATCCAGGCACTCTTGTCTTCTCAAAGTGTGTCAACACCTGTGCCCCCAAAGGGCACCTGTTCCCACTCTTGAGTTAATATTCACCCAACAACTTACTGGACATGTTTGTTCTTGGACCAGTTGAGACACGTGGCATTTCTTCATAGAAGCACGTCCAAATCCATCATCTAAAAATAGAAAATTATAAACTTAACAAGCTAGTCAAACACCAGTTCTTGAGAATGCATATTATAATATTCATGTTATACTTTTAATGTGTAGACATATGGGGAAGCCAAGAGCTACTATAAGTTCCTTTGAGTTCCACAAAACAATCTAACCTTTTGGCTCAAAAGTAAAGGTTTTGCTGAAGCCCAAAAGAATGAGAAACAGAAAGTGCACATTCCCATTCGCCCCCCTCCCCAGGAGTGATCCAAGGAACATGGACCAGCTCTAAAGCACCCACAGTGCGGTTGGGATGTGGCTGAGGAAAAATGAGGAGAGAAGAATCTGAGTCCCAGGCGTCCTTGCTCACAAATGTCAGGCTCTGGAAGAAGCTGTGGGGCCCCTCTGAGACTCTGCTTTCCAGTGTCTGAGATGAGGCTAGTGGTACCCATCTCACAGGGCTGCAGTGAGAACTAAATGTGCAAAAACAGAACAGGGATCTGCCCTCCTGTGGCTGCCTGGCCCTTGGGTGCCTTCCTGTGGAGCAGAATACCCAGGCTCTGACTCAGTCCTGGGGGACAGTCAGAGTGGACCTCAGGACCCAGCATGTGAGCTACCTGAAATTGCTGGAGTCTGGGGTATAGACAACAGGCAGAGCAGTGTGCTTGGCCCTCAGGCAAACTCAGTTTCTCTTGCAGGCTGAGCTCCTATCCCTCCCACTGGAGCACCTAGGGATCTGTAGCCTGGGCACCTCAGCAGAGAGGGCAGTGGCCCGGCTGGGGAGTCACAGTAAAAGTCTCCAAGGGGAAGACTCACCAGTCTGCGGACATCAAAAGGCACACAGAGTCAAAATATGCAATGAAAATGGTAAAGACAGGGAAACTACTTGCAGTACTAATATCCGAAATTTATAGTAATGCTTGTACAAATGGACAAAAAAACCTCACTAAAAATGCAAGTAGCAAAGGTATGAATTCATAAAAGAGGAATATAGGTCGTAAACGTTTTGGAAAAGTGACCAAACTCATTCCTAATAATTAAAGGAATGCTAAATACTCCTATATTCACCTAAAATAGTCTTCCAAGAGAGGTTTGTTTGTTCTTCTCATGAGAATATGCTTTGTTGGCAGACCTAGGGGAAACACTATAGGATTCCTCTATATTGCTGATAATATTTTAAAGTGGAACATGCATTTCAGAAATTTATTTATCAAATTATTTATCACATCATTTATCAAAATTTATAAACAAAAACAAAATTCTTGCCAACAGGCCAAAGATGTTTATTGTAGCATTGTTTGTAATGACAAACACTGGAACCGATCTAAATGCCCGGCTACATGTAAGTGCATTCTGGAACATCTATAAGATGCACTATTACATGCCTGTTTAAATGATCATGATAGGGGCACCTGGGTGGCTCAGTCTTTAAGCGTCTGCCTTTGGCTCAGGTCATGATCCCAGGGTCCTGGGATCGAGCCCCGTATTGGGCTCCCTGCTCTGTGGGAGGCCTGTTTCTCCTTCTCCCACTCCCCCTGCTTCTGTTCCCTCTCTCTGTGTGTCTCTCTGTCAAATAAATAAATAAAAATCTTTAATTAAAAAAAATGATCAGGATAAAGTTAATCAACACATGACAATTTCTTTGACCTCCTTAGGGATCAGGAAACCACTAATTATAACCACGGGATACCTCTGTACACTCATTAGAATAACTAAAAATGGGGGAAAAAAGACAATACCAAGTCTTGGTGAGGATGTGGAAGAAACGGAACCCCGAGACACTGCTCATGGAGGGTAAAATGGCGCAGCCACGCTGAAAGACTGGCAGTATCTACCCAAGCTGAACACACACCTCCACCGTGAGCCAGTACGCAGCTCAGAGTGGAATTGCTAACAGAAATGTATATGTATGTTCACAAAGGTATAAAGAACATTTAGAGCATAACGTTCATAACAGTCAAACACCGGCAACAATCCAGACGTCCATCAGCTGTAAACGAAACAACATAGATGGCTTTTAGAAACGATGTCAAATGTATCATATGATCTCACTGATATGAGGAATTCTTAATCGCAGGAAACAAACTGAGTGTTGTTGGAGTGGGGGGTGGGGTGGGAGGGATGGGGTGACTGGGTGATAGACACTGGGGAGGGTATGTGCTCTGGTAAGCGCTGTGAATTGTGCAAGACTGTTGAATCTCAGATCTGTACCTCTGAAACAAATAATGCAATATATGTTAAGAAAAAAAAAGAAGAAGAAGAAGGTAGCGGGAGGGGAAGAATGAAGCGGGGGAAATCGGAGGGGTAGACGAACCATGAGAGACGATGGACTCTGAAAAACAAACAGGGTTCTAGAGGGGAGGGGGGTGGGAGGATGGGTTAGCCTGGTGGTGGGTATTGAGGAGGGCACATTCTGCATGGAGCACTGGGTGTTATGCACAAACAATGAATCATGGAACACTTCATCTAAAACTAATGATGTAATGTATGGGGATTAACATAAGAATAAAAAAAAAGAAATAAAAAAAAAAGAAACGATGTCAAGGGGGAAAGCCAGTCACACGAGCGCCTATCTAGGCAATTCTATTTCTACAAAGTTCAAGCACAGGCCAAATGAGTTCGAGGTGTTAGAAGTCAGGACAGCGGTATCTTTGAGGGGTGAGTACTGACTGGGGAGAGCACGTGGGGCCGGAGGAGGCCTGTGGGCTCTGGTAATGCTCTGTCTCCTGTTTTGGGTGCTGATTTCAAGACTGAATTTACTGTGTAAAAATTTTTTGAGCTGGACATGATTTTTTATACTTCAATAAAAAGCTTAATTATTTTAATGACTATAATAAAGACAACAGCATGAAGAAATGTTTATGTCAGCTCTGCGCCATGTTCCTAATGAAATATTCTACCTGTGTTCTGGTCACAGTTATTTAAAAAGATAGGACACAGGGCGCCTGGGTGGCTCAGTCATCAAGTGTCTGCCTTCAGCTCAGGTCATGATCCCAGGGTCCTGGGATCGAGTCCCACATGGGGCTCCCTGCTCAGTGGGAAGCCTGCTTCTCCCTCTCCCACTCCCCCTGCTTGTGTTCCCTCTCTCGCTGTCTCTCACTCTCCGCTGAAAACTAAATAAATCTTAAAAAAAATAAATAAATAAGATAGGACACAGATTGGGGTGCCTGGGTGGCTCAGTTGGTTAAGCACCTGACTCTTGATTTTGGCTCAGGTCATGATCTCAGGATTGTGAGATCAAGCGCTATGTTGGGCTCTGTGCTCAGCAGGGAGTCTGCTTGAGATTCTCTCTCTCTCTCTCCCCCTGCTCCTCCCCCTTTCTCTCTCAAATAAATAAACAAAAAAAATTTTTTTTAAGATTTTATTTATTTATTTGACAGAGAAAGACACAGCGAGAGAGGGAACACAAACGGGGAGTGGGAGAGGGAGAAGCAGACACCCCGCCGAGCAGGGAGCCCGATGCGGGACTCGATCCCGGGACTCCAGGATCATGCCCTGAGCCGAAGGCAGTCGCTTAACCAACTGAGCCACGCAGGCGCCCTAAATAAACAAATTTTAAAAAGAAAAAAAGATAGGACACGAGGGAAAGAGCCAGCAGGAGACCACATGGGGAAGAAGCCGTATTTGGGGGTGTGACCTTGGGGAACTGGTCCCTTTCTTAGCTTCAGATCATCCTCTTGCGGGACTGGCCACCCCATGCTGGCCAGAGGCAGAGACGGCACCCTGCGTGTGAATCAGCTTGAGGAAGGAGCCATTCTTTCTGAGCTTCTTCCCAGTGTGTCTCCAGCATATTGCACTGCCCTGCCTGGCTGCCCGGCTCAGCCTGTAGCGAGGCTGTGGTCACTCCCCTGCACCTGGGCCAGTGCAGATGCGCCACACGACAGAAGGCAACTGTACCCCGACTACCTGCCAGTCCAAGGGAGGCTCCCAAATGTCCTCCCCTTGCAGGGCCCCTGCCCCTAGGAGGGTGGAGGGCACTACAGGCATGGTGGGGTCCTGGGGATAGAAATATTTAAAGGGGAACATCTACAGACTAATTTTACATTGATCGAGTTCACAGACCAGAGAAGCTTTTGGGTCAAGAGGACCTCAGAAGCCACTTCATGGTTATCTGGGGCATTTAATTAGGATCTGCAATTTAAATCATCAAGATCCAGAACATGGATCTGATCTGCGCCGCTGAACTCGATTTTCCTTATTAGTCTCATTAATTTAAAGTAATTCACCAAGGATTCTTATATTCCCAAGGTCCCTGGTTTTCCTCTTGGCCCCATTTGAAGACCAGAGCTCATTAGGAAGAAAAACAGCACTTCCATCTAAGAGGACAGATAGTGTGTGGGAGTTGTTCAGGGGACTGGAATTTTTTTCTTGGGGGCAAGAACAAAGAAAGAAGCAAGAACCCATGAAACTAACTGCCTCTTCTCACTCTGTGAGAGATGTGTGACCCTTTCTGACAAGAGGACACAGATCATCAACTCCATAGCAAACCTGGTCATGGCCCTTCCACCTGTGTGGGGGCGGGGGGGATGATGGTAGAGGAGCAAGAGGACACAGATCATCAACTCCATAGCAAACCTGGTCATGGCCCTTCCACCTGTGTGGGGGTGGGGGGGATGATGGTAGAGGAGCATAAGCAAGACAGGAGGGATGTGGTGGTTCACACAGGTCCATGGGATTTGTGACGGGTGGAAGTTCACTGTCAGAAACTTCTCAGGAAGGCAGTCTTGGCAAAGGTCTGCCTGCCCTCTTCCTCCACAGAACAAGGGCTCCTGGGCCTGGAAGGGGTTCTGGAGGCCCCCTCTGGCTCAGAAACCTCTTAGGGCTGCTGAGCTGGAGCTGAGTGGGGAGGACTAGCCACAGAATTTTCCATTTTCATCTGTCTTATACAATGGGGGTTCTTCAGAGAATAATCTGAAAATGGAGTTGCATGGATGATGCCACAGAAGTCCAAACAAGGTGACTTTCTCAAGGTCACATGGAGGTAAAGGATGAACTATCAGAATCCACCCAAAGCAAAAAGCCC